CGTTTAGACGAACACCGCTGACCCTTACATTCTCCTCCACTTCGACACTGCAGCTGGAGACTAAGTCCTGTTCGAAGTTTTGAACGCTCATTCGAATGGGACTTAGCCATTTTTCAGTGAGAAATTGACCGACCGCACTGCCCAAATCTATGGAACTATTTATAGTCATAAAGGAACCTCCACCTAACTTTTTAACCCCTTAACGGATTGCCCTGATTTTTGAGTATGTTTATGTTTAAAGTATGCGGATTCTGAAAATGTATGTTTTATGTGAATGGCATGTATATTTTGCATCACATGCAGAGGAGAGGATTTTGTGTGTAATTGCTGGGAGTGTCTGAGTGTATTGTACGTATTGATTGGTTGTTTTGCAAAACCCTGTGGGCAGTACTATGTTTGCAAAATGTGCATAAAAGCAGAGTGTTTGATTAAAAGCTTCAGTTCTACTTCACCCTTAATTTGGAGTGCCGTCTCTTATTGGGGGAATTTGCTACAAGGGATTGCTATGCTAGTCATACTCTCTTGCTATATCACTACTAAGCTCTTGTCTTGCTCGCTGAAGGAGTCTACGGTGGTTATGGTGTCGGCTGGAGTGCTTGGAGCCCTCAGGAAGCGCTAGGAGCATCCTTCAACGGAGGTACCCAGTCAGGGTGCCAGGTGATCCGTTACAATATCTTTGGGGCTTCTGTCTGTCATCATCAATAGTATTTTTTTTTTAAAATGAACATAACATTATTAGAAAGGTGTGAAGCTGTCTGATACAGGTTTCTCATTGCGGGGGATGGGGGGAAACACTAATAGGCTGATGCTCTCAGCCTATAACTTCATCAGTGCTGAGAGAGGAGGAGACATTGGGACCTGGAGAACAATTGCTCTCTGAAACACTTTGGGGTTAAACCCCTCATAAACAGTGTAGCCCCTTAAGTTAAGATGGTGCCTGGGACCTGCAGGCTGCATAACAACTTCATTGAGATGAAGTTGTCATTGTACCCAGAGTGTTCCTTTAATAATCAAACAATCTACATTTCTATAGGATCTAATGACTATTAAAGAAAAAATTTTTTTTTTCATAATCCAATAATCCATTTAAATTACACTAAAAATACCATAATTCCAAGATTGCTAACAATAATCATATTACTCACAATTCACAGAAAAATCTACTAGAAAAATAAAAGAGTTATGGTCGACATGACTTTCCTCTGTTTCACACCAGACAAAGTAAATTGGGCAGACGGCATACGAATAACACAACTTAGTGTAGTTATTCTCATACAGTCTATAACCACAAAGTGGTTGGAGTGACAACAATAAGACAATAAAAATCCATCCTGGTTCACCAAAGCTGTGGGGTTATTCATTAGCAGCACACCCACGAGGATGTAACATTCATATGTTGCAGAAGTGAAGAAAATTAGAGAGACACCCTAGGCTGGAGATAACTTATTAATGTATTACACAGGTAATAATAATTCATAAATCAGTAATAATGTTTCTCAGCAAACCAGGAACTGTTTGAAACTTCTCAGCCAGTCCTACTGTTTTATTAGGCTTCTCTGGGACTGTGCATAACCAATAATTTCCCAAAAACAGGCTGTCTGTGTGAGACTCTACTGCAGTTAGCTTCATTCAGAAAAAAACTAGTAGTAAAATCGGTGGTGTTGCTTTATTAGTGTGGTTTAGCATGTAGTAATAGTTGCATATACTTCGAGAGAGACAAGATGCCTCTTACTATAGTGCAGCTATAGATATAGAAGGGTTATTGCAACACCATGACCACTGAAGTGATTTGAAATGGTCATAATGCTTAGAGTCCTCATGCAGCGAGAGTATAACCCCTTTGCTCCAGCCAAGGAGAGTGACAACAGTGAAAAAGCTGTCCGGAGACCTTGGTCTCAGCTCTGGTACAGAGGCAAATTTTAGCTTTAGTTTAGTTTTTTGACGAGCAGGGGGCATCATGATAAGGAAGCATTACTCTAACCAGTGTTTTTTTTAAAACAGTTTTTTTTGTTTGGGGTAACCATTTAACGTTACCAAGCCTCCCACCAGTCTCAAATGTGTCCTGTCCTGCTTTAGTTCCCTGGTGTCCCGCATCTGAGGACACCAGGGAACTATCCCTGAGGATGCACAGCTTAAGTGCATTATTATATACGCTCGCGCTTTGCAGAGGGCACTACCGTCTTTCCCAAAAAATAAGACATCCCTGGCTTATTTTCAGGGGATGCTCGTAATATAAGCCCTACCTCAAAAATAAGCTCTAGTCGCTAGTCCACTTATCTATGTTCAAGGAATTTTCCCCGAACATAGATTCGCGAGTAAGCTAATCTATGCTCGGGGAAATTTCCCTGAACAAAGATTTGCGGGATTCCATGCCCTAGTATACTTGTCTATGTTCGGGAGACCTGCTTTCTAGCACATGCTTGCTACCATTTTTCCCCGAAATAAGACATCCCCCGAAAATAAGACCATGTCTTATTTTCGGGGAAAAGCGGTAGGACCATAGGGAGTGCTTTGGCAGTGCTCCCTTCATAGTCCTAGTTGCTGGGGGACAGACAGGTTCAGTGGCCCACCCGTGGGCAATTATTAAAAATAAATAAAATCACTGTTTAGTTAATTTACCTCCAATGAAAACATGCATGTATTTAATTATATACCGGTATGTTGGCATTGGCGTTGTATATCCAAAAATAGTTTACAAAAGTTACAGTTCATGTGCCTGCATACTTTGCAAGCCTTACCCTTTTCCCTCAGCATAGCGTTTCAGTCTGTGCTGAGTAGATGGCCAATCAGCGGCTTTTCATTGTGAATCCTCATTCTCATGAGTGTGGGGGCTGAACCATATTTTGTAAAAATAGCCTAATTGCCACTAAAGCTGAATGGGAGAATTTGTTTACAAATCAGCGATTGTTTACTACGTTTTGCTATATTTAGTTCACTGTAATTCAGTGTTTAGTGAATTAACCCCTAATTGTTTTTTTAAAACAAATCTGTTAAAATACATAACCTAACTCAGTTTTGGAATATGCTTCCTCTAGTTATCAGTTCAATGACAAACCATCCTACATTTTGGAGGAAATTGACATGACTCTAGTTAGTTTATAATCTAACTTTCTAGCATATAACCCTGATCTAATCTATCAGGGTTATTTACTAACTTTACTTACTATTGTTGGAAATTCAAAATTAATTTCATGTTTAAGGCCAATGTTGCCAAACTAAAAGCATAGTTTACTTGGATCATGTTTCCAGTTTGGCTACTTTGTCATCAAATATGAAATTTTCTTTGAATGAACTTAAAAATTCCCAACAATTTCCTGTATATATGTCTGTGTTAAAATATATTAATGACGCAGTCCTCTTTAAATGACTGGAGTGTCCCTTGCATGAATTACTGCAGGTATTAAAACCATGTATTTTCTACATGCAAATATGGTACTTTTAATACCAAACAATAGTGTTATATTAGGCGCTCCTTTAGTAATATATAACAGTATATCATATGCTGTAACTACTGTTAAATTGTGTATCTGAAAAAAAAGCTATTTACTTAAAAAAATGAAACTACTCCTCAGTGACTATATACCACATAAAATCATTGCTCATCTGAAAGGGAACGGTCTGAAATTCCAAGTCAGACTCCCAAAGAGTATTATAACTAAATGAAAACAATAGTGTGTACTATTTTCAATCATATATAACACTGACTGTAGTGAAAAAACTCTAATTAGTATACTGTAGAATAAATACCAAAATATCACAAGAAAATCTAAATATAAAGTGTTTATCAAAATATAATTTTACATTTCATATGCAAACATACAGATGATTGATGAAAAACATGGTGAAAAGTGTCAAAGGAAAACAAAGTGTCAACAGTACCTAAAATATGGTACACTATCAGTGGGAATTATTTAGGATAAAAAAAAATTTAAAAAAAAAGAACTCGATATAGTTTTTCCATGGCCTTTTTATACTGTTACTCGAAACACACAGCATGCTGGAGGTAGACAAAAAAAGGCGGCATAGCCCTTCTCCAAGCCACCTGCGCACGGGAACAATGCACAATGAAGCACTTGGCAGGGATCCTTAAAAACTAGATTGAGTAATCCACAGGCATACATGGTGTCATGCGAAAGAAAAGTGCTTCATACACCATAAGGGCAACGAAAACAAACACAATGGCCACTAGTCCTTAGTCACTAAAGCCTGGTGGCCGAAACATTGTATTTTTCCTTTGTCCATAAGGTTCAATAAACCATTTTCTTTTCACATAACACTGTGATGCCTATGGATTGCTTTTTTGGCTAATTACAAAAACCAGTGGTTTTTTTTTAAAGATGCATGAACTGACCTTTGAATGAATATATAAACATACACATTCTCACAATCAGAAATTGATTATTCCAAAAAAGCATGGGGAAAAAAAAGTATTCTACATATTTCAGTGTCTCCCTTGATATTTTTTGCATCAGATTGATCTCATACACACATAACGAGGCCCAATAGAGCCCTGTAAATTAAACAAATAAAATAAGGTTACAAAAATAGTTATAGTAACCATTTAAATCAGAAATTCACTTTGATTTCCTGACAATTCTCACTTGAGTAAATAACCCTGTTATTATCAATGACCAGAGTGTTAATACTGTGTCACCCAGTGTGATTGAAGGGGGCACTGCCACTCAGGACATTGCAGCTATGGACTATCACACCTCCAGCTGCCTCACTGCCTGCTCTGAAAAGGAATTGTCACCATGGCAACAAGCCTTCCAATGGCTAGCCATCTGGAGGAAGGGCCTTTATCCTGCATGCTCTCAGCCAGGCTGCAGGAGAAGCGGGAGGCTGCGCATGCGCTCTGACATCCGAGGCCAAGCCTGGCCGCCCTCAGCCGCTGTGTGCATTCTGCGTGCAGGCCCCGCCCCCTCCCTGCTGCTGTCTGAGAAACCCGCTGCTCATTGTCGCCAGTGTCTGACGGGCTGACCGAGAGCGGACAAAGAGCCATGTCGTCTTCTTCATCCGAGCAGTTCGAGGAGGGCGAGTATGAGAACCAGCCCAAGAGGCAGAAGTACGGCCAGGAGGACGGGGAGATAGATTATACATCCGAGGAGCAGGAGGGGGAGCCGGTCCCCGAGCCCACCAAGAGCACCTGGGGGGAAGCCAAGTATGGGGTAATTATATCAGGCTATCACTGTGACTATGGAGCCCCCCCCCTACCCCCACAATAATGGGCCATTCCTGTGCATACCTTGGCATGCCAGGGTCACATGGTGCCTCTACACTGGATATAACAGGGCATGATGGCACTGCCAACACGGCTATAGCAGGGCATGCTGGCACTGCCAACACGGCTATTGCAGGGTATGCTGGCACTGCCAACACGGCTATAGCAGGGCATGCTGGCACTGCCAACACGGCTATAGCCGGGCATGCTGGCACTGCCAACACGGCTATAGCAGGGCATGCTGGCACTGCCAACACGGCTATAGCAGGGCATGCTGGCACTGCCAACACGGCTATAACGGGCATGCTGGCACTGCCAACACGGCTATAACGGGCATGCTGGCACTGCCAACACGGCTATAGCATGGCATGCTGGCACTGCCAACACGGTTATAGCAGGGCATGCTGGCACTGCCAACACGGCTATAGCAGGGCATGCTGGCACTGCCAACACGGCTATAGCAGGGCATGCTGGCACTGCCAACACGGTTATAGCAGGGTATGCTGGCACTGCCAACACGGCTATAACCGGGCATGCTGGCACTGCCAACATGGCTATACAGGGCTTTCTATATTTATATTTAATGTCTGTCATTGGAGTAGAGGTAAATCCCAGCAGTGCTTTCTATAATGGTTTTAATTTATATTTAATGTCTGTTATTGGAGTAGAGGTATATATCCTAGCAGTGCTTTCTATAATGGCTTTAATTTATATTTTAATGTCTGTTATTGGAGTAGAGGTATATATCCCAGCAGTGCTTTCTATAATGGCTTTAATTTATATTTTAATGTCTGTTATTGGAGTAGACTCCAAGTAAGTCATGTTTCATTAATAGTTTTGCTGTCAGTTTCACAAGCAGCGTGTATAGATCTAGATTTAATAGAATAATGAAGTGGACCCAGCCATACACAGGTGTGCATTACATCCCCATTACATGCTTGTTTATCTGTATGTGTATTTTCGTATTGTATCATAGAACTTGGTATGTGGAGTTTGCTTTTTTTTTTCTGTTAAATTACTCTAATACAGTAAATCAATACACATGTGTATGTACTGAATGGCACACATAATGATGTATAATATATTACTATGTATGGTAATAAAATGACACATGCATGTGTTTATGGAACTGAAAAAAATCATGTTCAAATGAACTGACACACATAATGACATTATTATTATTTATATAGCGGCGGAAAATTCCATAGCGCCGTACAACGGGGGGGGGCATATAACTTATTACTACGAAAACAAAATGATATAGGGTATGTTTGATATTTTATATACCATGTGTCATTTTCTATAATACATTTAAACTGGTATGAGGTAGAGCTATACATTATACAAATGCCAAATGATAGATTTTGTTAAACTGGGATTTTAGCATCAATTTACCATGAATGATTACATTCCTGCACCAGGTTTATAGGATTAGGTAAAATATGAAATGCTTACGTATTTTCATGTAGGAAAAGCTGTTTTACATTTAAGAAAGTATTGTGTAAGTGATGACTACAGCTCAGGTATTATTAAAAAATAAATAAGAGTATCATTGTGTATGGTCTTTCTTGTAGTGCTTGATAATATGGATTCATATCATTTACCTTCTGCACTATATAAATCCTACATACATGCAAAAAACTTTTTTTATTCTTTATTTAGTACAGGCATACAGATTTTACATTCTTTGTAAATACATATTTTTATGTGATTCTGATAAAATTTTGTGTGTGTGTATGTATGTATGTAGCCCATTTTAGCACCGGTGGCTTTTTATTTTTTTGAAAATGTTTGGTTTTCTGAAAGCATGTATTTACCTGTATGTATGTATGTATGTATATATGTATAAGGAAAATCTTTCAAATAGACATTTTATGTGTTAAGGGCTAATAATCTCCTTGGCACTGTAATCTTGGTAATTTATGGTTACTTTTAAGTCAAAGAGTTGCTCCAAACGTCATATCCACCACAGACTGCAGTAGTGGCTATGATGGTAGGAGTAAACTGGCACTGTTCCCTAGTAATGGGGCATACCATTTAACAGTTTGCCCTCTTACTGGACGCAGGTCGTTGGCAGGTTTACATCTGTCTTCATGGACCTTATTGATTGGTTGAGAGCTTCAGCTGACCTCTCCCGGCCAATGAGTGAGTGTCTGTGCATCCAACTATGCAAAGAGCCAGCCCGAACTCTGGGCACCATGACCACTTCTAATCACTGAATTTGTCATGGTTCTTGGAGTAACCCATCAATATTTAACTTTGTGTCCTTACAAAGTTAGTATATTGGACTGAATATAACCCTTTTACACATCTTGGACACTGAGCCTCAAAGTTCCATGTTTGTTACTAATTTTGTTTAAAGGAATCTTTGCTACATACATGTTATTCTAGCGACATTTAAAGGGTTACTTCAACCACCATGACCACTTCAGTAATTTGAAGCATTCATGGTGATAGGAGTCTGTGCAGCATTTCTGCGTGCTTGCAAGGGAAAGCTTGCTGTTTTAGGTTGTGGATATAATGAAAGATGGAGTCCCAGAAACTGTTTGTTATACCAAGGCTTCTTTTTTTCTGTGTTACAAGCATTTGCTACAAAAATATAGGTCAGGCTTTGAAAGTGATTGGTCTTGCTCTTTTTTTTAATTATTCTTGCTGTGACTATTTCCGTAAGAAATAAAAAATAGTCTGTTGGATTCAGTCGTGTGTGCTTGTAGCAGTTCGATGTTTTTGAATTTATTTGACACACTAATTCAAACGTTCTTATGTCACCCGTGATATCTCTGTGAGATCTCTATTCAGCTTGTGTATACTTCCTTAAATCATTTTTCTTGCATTTCACTTACGTAGTTGATCCCTTGCTTAGACCACAATTGTTTAACTTTCAATATTGTCATAATTAACATTTGCTACTGCTGTTCTTTGAGAAAGAATGAATAAAAGGTGAAAATATCCCTGCAACTCATTTACTTTCACAGGATTACCTACTTTTTAGCAGTTGGGAAGCACATGACTAGATCTGCCTGCAAATATTTAGGAACCTCAAGCTACCAAAGGAAATTAATTGGGTAATCATTACTGTGGTATGTGGAGGTCTTTCAAGTTGTTTTTCAGGAGGTTACAAATTCTACATCCTGGAAAGCCGTTTTTATATCCTGGCCAACAACATGAAGCAATTATAGCAGTCAAGTAAAAAGTGTGTGTGTGTGTGTGTGTGTGTGTATGTATGTGTATATATATATATATATATATATATATATATATATATATATATATATATATATATGAGAGACCCATACACCTACCTTAAATAAATAAAAGCTATTGAGCGATTGATTTTATTTTTTTCAAATTTATTTAAGGTTTTGACAATATGCAAAAAAATCCCACTTTTTAGATGTGTACCTTAATATAACAGACTTGTGATGTCATTGGGTTAGAGACTTTCACATTTTTGGTAAACTCACATTGTTATACACTTAATGGGACTCTATAGGCACTCAGGCCACTTCATCTCAATAAAGTTGTCTGGGTACCATGTCCCTGTCTGTTTACCCTGCAACTGAAAGCAATGACGGCAGTGTTTTCATTTCAAGGTTAGCATGCCTTTAGTGGCTGTCTCCCTGAAAGCCACTAGAAGCACTTTCCCCCAAATAACAGCGTTGAACTCTGCTATTTAACCAATTGGTCTTATAGAAATAATTTGATTTGGCGCAGCATTTTGCCGCAAATGGGCACAAGACTTTAGATGTTTTCATATGGGGAAACTTATAATTGGCTGTCATCATCTTCATAAATGATCTCAGCCAAGGAGGCGGAGTGGCATAGTGGAAACCGGCATGGTGAGGGCTTAAAGGTGAGTAATACTTGTCTTTCAAACCTTCACACGACAGGGATACTAAAATACTTAAAAACTATAGCATTAGGAATAAATGTTTGTATTTCTATTGCTATAATGTTTCTTAAAGAATTAATTGTCCGTATTCAAAGTGAATTTCAAATTCTAGGGCCAAAGTATCTAAACTGGAAACATTTTCCAAAATAAACAATATTGTAACGAAGTTTTCAGACTTTAAAAGGATACACTTAGTGTACACTAATATATATGCTCATTTTATTCTTATATATGCTTATTCATTTTTCATATATAGGCTTCAATTTAATATTGTTTGATAAGCTTTCCAAATGATTTAATATTTTTGGATAAACTTTTAAAATTATTTTCTTCAGCATACTAAAATGTAAAAAAAATTTTGTTTTAAAAAAAATGCATATATATATATATATTATATATATATCTCAATATATTACAACATTTAAATATCTTTAATATTAAATCATTTAAAAAGTTTATTCAAAGATATTAAATAATGTGGAAAAACTATTAAATAATATTAAATCGAGGCCATATTTTTCTTCAGAAATTAAAAAGTTCAATCCAGTTGAACATTGTCTAATAACACGGAATATTGTTCTATAGGATTCTTCAATTTGTAATTAACATGGAAGTCATATTGACCAAATGTTCGCTACAGAGAAAAACTGGTAGACATTTATTTAGCATGCATTTTTCTACAATTTTCATTAAATATAGCCGCGTAGAAGCTAATTTCCAATCTATTTGTGGCAAATCTCATTTGTAGAATGAGATTTAAATAGAGGCCAGATTGTATTGAAATAAATACTAAATGTAGTATATGTATGTGGCTAGAACTGTTAATTATACTAGGGCAATCTATAAAATAACATCCATGCACATCCATACATCACAAATTTTGATGCGATTTTTACTTCAAGTGATTACTTTATGTGCCCGAGGGGGGGGTGTGTGTGTGGTTTTTTGTTGTTGTTTTTTTTTTTTTTAGCAATTTTCTCGTAATGCAACTAAACATGCTGTTTTAGTAAGATTCACATCTTTATTTATTTATTGCTCTAAATATTTTAGTATTTTGAAAAAAATATAATTTTTAAAAGTTTATCCAAAAATAACAAATCATTTATAAATGTTATCCAAAAATATTACATAATTTTGTTGGAGCCTTGTTTGTTACCTGTATTATACGTCTGGGACATTCCAAACCATGTGATTATTTATTTTAAAAGATCAACTGTACCAAAGCATACACATATCTATTACATGTATGAAGAATACTTTTAATATAAATATATTTATAATTCCCCATATATTGTGGTGTGTGTTGCATGTCATACATTTGCTCATAGCTTTGATTGACACACACCTTTACAGTGTAAATTACAATTGTTTTTTTTTTTTTTGTTGGTATGTGTTCTTTATTGTGGAGACAGTATATTTATCAGCAGATGAAGACAGTAGGTCTATCCAATCTGTCCATCTCTTTCTAAAAGATCAGATTTTATTGATTTTTGTTTTCTGCCTAAGACAAACATAATCAGTTTGTCAATAACTGTAGTTGTGACAGTACTACATTGTTTCGTTTTTGGGGGGGTTGTTTTTCGAAACTAGTCTTGCTGAATGATGTGACTACATAGGAATTAAATCAAATGAGAGGCCTCCCTCTCCTCTTTAATATGTGTATGCACTAAATGTGAAATATGACTTTTTGGTTGAAAAGTTGGAAGGAAAAGGCAGTCAATTTATTTTTAAATGTATCAAATAGACTGTAAAATAAAGGGGGTTCAGCCATTGTGCATCTTCTCTCCAATCATACAATAAAGTGACTATCTTTATAAATGTTGCAGTACTATTTTGAATATTGCTGGTTTGTGCAATGCTTACTGTCTGATGCTCATGAAAAACAGTATAAGCAAAGCCATTCTGAGAGCCTAAAGGGTTACTTCAACCCCCATGACCACTACTGTTCTTAGAAATGGTTGTGGTGATAGAAATCTGTGTATATGCAGCATTTTTACTTGAAACACTGCACATTCAGAGATATTTGCGTTTCTGTGCCTGGGGCTAGTTATACCCCGGAATATGTGACATAGGCATCCCAGAACTATGTTCCATACTGCCTAATCTGTCGATTTTATGTGCAAACAAAATACATCTGTTGTCCGCGCGTTGTGACAGATGTGATTCTTCTCTCACAGGGAAAACCTTCATATTCCCTACCTCCATAAACTGAGTTCTCTCTACTCACTACAGTACTGTTTATTTTTGGTTCATTTTAACCGCAGTGATTGATTCATTTGCACTCTGCGTTTTTAGTGCCAATTTTGCACAACCTGGACGAACCCCAGCACTCTCAGCGAATCAGCATAGCCAAATTTAGGAAGAAATTGACATTGGCAATATAAAGAAGTGTATTTTCACATTATCAATGTGGCTGAGATAGTGTGACTTCTGGAAGAGGATCAGTTTCAATCAACCCTTCTTTAATAGTTTGATATTCAGCTGAGGGAAGGTATCAAGTAATTTCATTTTAAAGTCCTGCTATCCACTGTGGATTTGCTTCTGGGCTGGTAACTTGCCGTTTACCAGTTGGTCATTTCTATATATTATGCAGGGCTGATGCAAGGATTTTTGCCGCCCCATTCGTTACAGACACAGACAGACACACAGACACACACACACAGTCTCTCTCTCTCTCTCTCTCTCTCTCTCTCTCTCTCTCTCTCTCTCTCTCTCTCTCTCTCTCTCTCTCTCTCTCTCTCTCTCTCTCTCTCTCCAATGCAGAAGTGTGTCACCCATACACACACACAGACCCATACATACACGCACTGACCCATGAAGAAACATGCTGACCCATACATACATTTAGCCTAGTCATTGACAGTGCTGTTTTTTAATTCATCAGTGTAGTGACCATTTTTTTTTTTTAAAACTAGTAAATGTAATTATAATTTAGAAATAATAATTCGAGAATCAATGCATGAATATGCAGTTCATTTGCCTATTTTTTAAAAATTTTAAATACATGTGTAGAAAAATATAAAGGAAAAGATGAGCACAGTGGAACATTTTAACCTCACTAGTAATGATGCACATAGCAGAGATTAATCACCTAACTCTGACGGTGTGACTCTGGTAGTGGGGGAAAAAGAGGACCAGGTAGTCAATGAAGGCCTTGGTCCTCCTTGCACCCTCCCTCCAGCAAGGTGAAGTGACATTGGGTTAAGAGGGACAAAATACTTGGTGATAACATATATTTTTTTTTAATTTTATTTTAAAATTTGTGATTTATAAAGTTTTTTTTTTTTAAATTGAAGTAACGCTTTAAGAAGCTATGCTTATATGATTCTCTCCATCCTTGACACCGCCATCTTTCTTAAGTGGTTTCACATGACGGCTTATGGGAAATGGCAGGAAGTGGTAACAGAAGCTTTACCCATTGCCACTTTTTGCAACAAATCTACATAAGACCAAGTAGTCAATACTAGTGATAGTGTTGGAATTTCAAATGAATTGCAACTCCGTTGACATGAGCTCATCATAAAGTGACTACTGCTTAAAATAAAACTTTGTGTCTGTTCTTGTAAAGGTACATCTCTAGCAATAGTACTTCTTTTGAAAATCAAAAGTGTAAAAAATTTTTTTAGAGCACATGCTTAAGCTGTCTGCAAGGCAAGAGAGAACAATAAGTCACTTAAAGGAGCACTATAGTGTCAGGAAAACAACCCCGTTTTCCTGACACTGTCATCCTTGGGTGACCTTCACCCTCAGGGTCCCCCTCCCGTGGTGCTGTAGGGGTTAAAACCCCATCAGCAGCTTACCTTAATCCAGCGCCGGGCTCCCTCTGCACTGGTGACCTCTCCTACCCCGCCGCTGTCAGCTCTCGAGTGGAGCCGCGCATGCATTCTAACAGTCCATAGGAAAGCATTTCTTAATGCTTTCCTATGGACGTTCTGCATGCTGGATGCAAGTTTCGCATCCAGCGTCGCAGATGCACCTCTAGCGGCTGTCAGTGAGACAGCCACTAGAGGTTGGAGTAACCCTGCTATGTAAACATAGCAGTTTCTCTGAAACTGCTAGGTTTACATGTGAAGGGGTAAAACCTGAGGGACAGGGCACCTAGACCACTTCATTGAGCTGAAGTGGTCTGGGTGACTATAGTGTCCCTTTAAGATATTGATCAAAAATGTCTTTAACCCCTTAAGGACCAAACTTCTGGAAAGAAGGAAATCATGACCTGTCATGTGGCCTTAAGGGGTTAAACTGTGTAAAAATATATAGACAGGGCTCAAATGTTTCTGTAGTTTGTGACTAGTTGGGGGGGAGGGGGGAAGTATACAATTTGGGTGAGTAGATGAAACCCTGATCATTGTTGCCATTATAATGCTTTATTTTATTTCTGCATAAATGTCCTGATAATTGTTTCAGGTTATATATGCCTTGTAATAGTTTTCTCTTTTCCTCTAATATTCATAAACATTGTGTAAGTGTCTCATCAGCAGTAAATATATATAATTTGTATTATTATTATGTAGTTGTAAGTTGCATGCATTAGGTCTGATGCAGATGTAGAGGGGAGAAGATTCAAGAACCTCCCAGCTACCTCGCCAGAATTTCTTAAAGGGACACTATAGTCACCTGAACAACTTTAGCTTAATGAAGCAGTTTTGGTGTATATAACATGCCCCTGCAGCCTCACTGCTCAATCCTCTGCCATTTAGGAGTTAAATCCCTTTGTTTATGAACCCTAGTCACACCTCCCTGCATGTGACTTGCACAGCCTTCCATAAACACTTCCTGTAAAGAGAGCCCTATTTAGGCTTTCCTTATTGCAAGTTCTGTTTAATTAAGATTTTCTTATCCCCTGCTATGTTAATAGCTTGCTAGACCCTGCAAGAGCCTCCTGTATGTGATTAAAGTTCAATTTAGAGATTGAGATACAATTTATTTAAGGTAAATTACATCTGTATGAAAGTGAAACCAGTTTTTTTTATTTATTTTTTTTTTTTTCATGCAGGCTGTGTCAATCATAGCCAGGGGAGGTGTGGCTAGGACTGCATAAACAGAAACAAAGTGATTTAACTCCTAAATGACAATGAATTGAGCAGTGAAATTGCAGGGGAATGATCTATACACTAAAACTGCTTTATTTAGCTTAAGTAATTTAGGTGACTATAGTGTTCCTTTAAGAGTTAGGCACTCATGCCATTTTTTTTTTTGCAAGAATAAAGCGGTCTCGACTTTTGGAGCTGTTTGAAGTTTTTGTTTTTGAGAGATGAATAATCTGCCGTTATTATGAAAAAACCAAAGGGTAATATAATATTTCCAAACCTAACCTTTGGCATGTTGAGCGCACTGCTAGATAATTAAAAGAGCAATTTCCTGTTTCATGTACAGTGGAAAGCTGAGAGCTACTTTGCAAGAATAGAATATAGCTAGGTGTTCTCTTTGTAGACTTGTTTTATTATAATACTAGTTTAAATCTAGATATCATTGATCTGAGGAAGTGCCTTGTAAGCAGTAAACTCAAAAACCGTCTCGGTCTCTGTGCCCACTTTGTGCACTAGCTGCTGTTACTATGCTGTGTTGGTAATATTATGAATAAAAGAAAAAAGCTTCAACTTTTACTCATTACTTTACACTTGCTGCTTAATTTTGGACATCTAGTCCCTTTTGAGATCCAGTGTTACTGTATTTATCATTGATCACATCATGGTCACCATGGACACTATGCTAGTCATAGGCATTGCTGGAGGTTAGCTTTGGGGGCTGCGGCGGCTATTTAGTTGGAACGTATGGTGATCCTGGAGACAATAACCAGCACACTGATCATGAGAGGGGACATTACATAGAAAGGCTGATATATGTAAATACATTGATTTTCTGTTTGTGTACGGGTCATCAAGGTTTCACTTGGTCTCAAGCACCAAGGGTTTCTAGAACCTACCACACTCTTTGTCACCTCTGGTGCCTGTTGGGGAATCCTGGCAGGTCTACCATCCTCCCTTTAACAATGAAAAATTGTTCTACAGCCATTCCATGTCTGCTGAGATCATCGTGGCGGATTCTTCTTATGACACGTGTGGCAATCATCTTGCTCTGCGAAATCCGATGCTTCTCATAAATAACTGAATTTAGTGCTTCTCAATGAGAAACATTGGCTGCTCTCAGCATCATTATGCTATGAATGATTACATTGACTGTGAATGTGAGGACCTTGCATGGGTTTTACATTGCTAAGAAAAGGGGCACATATACGTATTCATTAAGATGTACAGCTTAGTGTGTTCCTTTAATAACAATTATAATTATAAAGGATTTTTCCCTTAAATATTATACATAATCAATGGAACTTTGCATATTCAAGCTACTTTAATGCCAACCAGCATGATTTTAGTATTTTGTTATTCAAATACTTTGAATACCGGCTTAAGCACCACTTGGAACCCAGTGGGTTTAGTTTATGACCCATAGACAAATGTTTTTTTGAAGGTCACCTGCAAACATCTTTTATTATTTAAGTAAATAGATCTTTAACATGAACCACATGCATATGTAGTTGGTTTTCTCTCAAGTATCTGTTGTAACTGAAAGTCTTTTGAGCACAGCACACTTTCTTTTCCTCTCTGCATATAACATCAGTATGGTAGTTAGATAAAATATCTAAAGACTGTGTAAGATCCGTGTCCGTGTACACGTGTTTAGTAAATGTTTGAATTTGATAAGGAATACACCTTAGGGTGTGCTATGAAGCAGTTTGTATCCTGTTTGATACTTGTTTTGTGTGTGTATTGGCTAAAAAGTTATTTTCATATTAAAAATAAAATAATAATCTACTTTAGTGATCTATGGAGGTATTGCATTTACAAGCCCGACTGTCCGCTGGAACATTTTATTAGTGTAAATGATCAGACCAGTAGTTCATTGTTGATATCTGATTAATATGCAACTTCTGTTGCATGTATGTATAATAAAATGCACTGTATGTTGTATTGTATCTGAATACAGATACAGGGAGTGCAGAATTATTAGGCAAGTTGTATTTTTGAGGATTAATTTTATTATTGAACAACCATGTTCTCAATGAACCCAAAAAACTCATTAATATCAAAGCTGAATATTTTTGGAAGTAGTTTTTAGTTTGTTTTTAGTTTTAGCTATGTTAGGGGGATATCTGTGTGTGCAGGTGACTATTACTGTGCATAATTATTAGGCAACTTAACAAAAAACAAATATATACCCATTTCAATTATTTATTATTACCAGTGAAACCAATATAACATCTCAACATTCACAAATATACATTTCTGACATTCAAAAACAAAACAAAAACAAATCAGTGACCAATATAGCCACCTTTCTTTGCAAGGACACTCAAAAGCCTGCCATCCATGGATTCTGTCAGTGTTTTGATCTGTTCACCATCAACATTGTGTGCAGCAGCAACCACAGCCTCCCAGACACTGTTCAGAGAGGTGTACTGTTTTCCCTCCTTGTAAATCTCACATTTGATGATGGACCACAGGTTCTCAATGGGGTTCAGATCAGGTGAACAAGGAGGCCATGTCATTAGATTTTCTTCTTTTATACCCTTTCTTGCCAGCCACGCTGTGGAGTACTTGGACGCGTGTGATGGAGCATTGTCCTGCATGAAAATCATGTTTTTCTTGAAGGATGCAGACTTCTTCTTGTACCACTGCTTGAAGAAGGTGTCTTCCAGGAACTGGCAGTAGGACTGGGAGTTGAGCTTGACTCCATCCTCAACCCGAAAAGGCCCCACAAGCTCATCTTTGATGATACCAGCCCAAACCAGTACTCCACCTCCACCTTGCTGGCGTCTGAGTCGGACTGGAGCTCTCTGCCCTTTACCAATCCAGCCACGGGCCCATCCATCTGGCCCATCAAGACTCACTCTCATTTCATCAGTCCATAAAACCTTAGAAAAATCAGTCTTGAGATATTTCTTGGCCCAGTCTTGACGTTTCAGCTTGTGTGTCTTGTTCAGTGGTGGTCGTCTTTCAGCCTTTCTTACCTTGGCCATGTCTCTGAGTATTGCACACCTTGTGCTTTTGGGCACTCCAGTGATGTTGCAGCTCTGAAATATGGCCAAACTGGTGGCAAGTGGCATCGTGGCAGCTGCACGCTTGACTTTTCTCAGTTCATGGGCAGTTATTTTGCGCCTTGGTTTTTCCACACGCTTCTTGCGACCCTGTTGACTATTTTGAATGAAACGCTTGATTGTTCGATGATCACGCTTCAGAAGCTTTGCAATTTTAAGAGTGCTGCATCCCTCTGCAAGATATCTCACTATTTTTGACTTTTCTGAGCCTGTCAAGTCCTTCTTTTGACCCATTTTGCCAAAGGAAAGGAAGTTGCCTAATAATTATGCACACCTGATATAGGGTGTTGATGTCATTAGACCACACCCTTCTCATTACAGAGATGCACATCACCTAATATGCTTAATTGGTAGTAGGCTTTCGAGCCTATACAGCTTGGAGTAAGACAACATGCATAAAGAGGATGATGTGGTCAAAATACTCATTTGCCTAATAATTCTGCACTCCCTGTATATAGACCCATGATATTGAAATGTGGCCCTGCACTTTTCAGACGGCCAGGATTTCATGATATCCCTTCTTTAGCACAAATTGATTAATAGCTTAGTTATTTTCATTGATGCGTGTACAGTGGTAAAGACCTCTTCGGGTACTAGTCCTAAAGGTAATGTTTTAAACCCACAAATATTTTTTTTTAGTATACTAATCAACCTTTTAACCATGAATTGCACCATTTAGATTTCTTTCTGTTCAGTGTTAAAGGAACATATCAAGCACCATAACTACTACATATGCCCTGGCTCCACCACTCCCCACCAGGTGCAGTTTGTTAAACGGTTTGCTAACGGTTTGATAGCTTACATGAGCTCACGTCCGTCATTGAGGAGTGGAATATCCTGGACAGAGCTACTCTACTTTTGGCTCTCATGTCGAAGGGGACCAGCATGATTAGGAAATGGTATGAATACTTGTATGTGAGGGGCGCAAGGGCTTTACTGTCACCATTAACACTAATGGCGCTGCAGTGGTCATGGTGTTTGGAATGTTCATTTAATAAGCAACTGCTTTTTTTGTTTTTTTTTTGTTTAGTGTAATCAGATGTTTTTTTTTCCTCGCAAGGTCTGTTTTATGTCAAGCCATATAGAAACTGTTTGGGATTAAAAAAGCAAAACAGGGCTCTCTGTGGCACCCACACATGATCCCCAGCTCAGTTGCATAAATAATTTTGAATTTACAATTCTGTGTTATCCATGTCAATTTGACCAACAGTGAGTTAACTTGCACCCATGATTTTCAGCCAGTCATCACCATTCACCTGAAACCAACCATTACCATTAATTTATTTGCATTAGTGTCAATGTTGCAGGCAAGTTACATTCTATGCAGCTGTCCATCACTGACCGTTAAACTGTCCTAGTTTTGTTTGAGAGTATTTGTGATCTTTTTAACAATTGTTTAGGATTCTTAAGTGTTTAAGTGGAGTTTAATTTCCTAGCTGGTGGTTGTTTTCAGCAGTCAGTAGATCTTTGTGGGTAACACTGAACTATAGAACATGTTAAAATATTTATCTCAGTGATTTTTTTGATGAATAGGTTGGGAGATTACTCTGTTGGATGAACAACCCCTGGCCCAGTCCCTCAAATGGACCATTTAGTAATAGATAAAAATTGCAAGTGAACCTTTACATTCCATTTTTTTCCCCTCAGGGTTCCCTTGTCAGTTGTCCAGTCTCTACAGATTCATTTAAATGTAAACATTCTGCATGACTTTCATGTGATAAAGATGTCCTTGCAAATTGCTCAGCACATGTTTCCAGTACAAACATATTTATACCAATGTATGTGCGCATACTTAGGGTGAAATCAAATAGGCGTGTTCTTCCTATTTTAAACTAATTCAGTATATTTTGCCTTATTTTTCAGGATGCTGGTGGGAATCACCACAAGGTTTCTGTGTCGCCTGTAGTTCACGTAAGAGGACTTTGTGAATCTGTGGTGGAAGCTGACCTCGTGGAGGCACTATCAAAGTTTGGAACAATTTGGTATGTATCCCTTTCATATTCACAGTCTGTCTTATACTTGAACATTACCCCTGTTGCCTGTTTGGGAAATGTGTCTACCATTTAACATGGTTTTCTGTTTAGCTAACAAAGATCTTCTAACGTGACAAAATAGTCGCAACTACCACAAACTTCTTAACAGCCTTTAACCACGAGTTATAATGGATTATTTTCCTGGGTACAAAAGCAAAACATTTATCCTGTTTCATTTTATAGTGAATGACTCGCTTCAGTGTAGAATGTCTAGATAGATATGTTGCATTTCTTGAGTACAGTTTTTTTAAGCTGTAAAAGTTGTTGGTTATATTTTTTTTAAATGCATCTTTTTTTTTCTAATGCATACAGGCTATAACATCTGTTCTCTGCTCCTTATCTATCTGATAAACTTAAACCTGAATTTATTGTAAGCTACTTTGCCAGATCACTTGATTCCTAATCAGTCAGTTCTAAGATCTGGGCATTTTCAGAGTTTTTATTATGTATATTCTATCCAATTTTACTTATAGGGTCACCCTAAGCTTCATAACAACCTATGCTCAATAGATAGATAGATTATGATACAGAGTGTAGTCTGACCCTGGTCTTTCAGCACATTTTTACTTAAACTTCAGTAAAACTTAAGTAAGGTTTTCATCTCTGTCTCTTGTATCTGTGACAAAAGTAGGAATTTTACATACACTTTTGCTATCCTAGATCAGTGTAACACTTGTGGGCAATCTTTACCTTCTGCCCAAGTCTCTAACTCCCCCTGAGCCATGTTTGTGTGGTCTGTGGCTCAGTAAGTCACAAATCACGGCCATATTCACAGTTTTGAATGCATCTCACAACAATGCGCCACCCACAGAGAAGCTATGAATAGGCCGATGGCTGCACAGTTTGCTTTTGGCTTATCTAGCAGATCCACTCATCCTTTGTAATAATTGTAGATTATGTTCGCTTTAGTGTACCTATAATCTTAAGAAAAATATTCACCTCCTGTCATTAATAAAATTAAGTCTCTCTTTACTTAAGCTCCACAGCAGCACAGTTTAACATAGAAACCATGAGAACCAATCAAAAATCTTGGGATTAATCTTGTGAAGTAAACTACTAAAAGCATGCAAACCCGGATAGAGACACTGGTCCATAACATTCATAGTAGACTGTGGCTCCTAAGCAAATGTAAGCTAACATGTTATCATCAATCCAAAATCCCCAGGTGAAGAAAACATTTGGATCATAAATCAATGTAAGGAAACAATCAATTGGAGAAGAACCAATTGCGAACATCCATAATTGTGCATACTGACTTACCTGAGCAGAAAACAACTGTGGCTGGAAAAAGAACCCGGGTGGCTCTCGATACTCAGCGAAAGGAGACTATATATTATAGTAGCGTAAACTTTGCTGATAGCCGGCGAAGGGAAAGATTTTAGTTCTCGGGACAGTCCAGAAGAAATCTGAGGATTATATCCACATCCCAGAGGTGAGTATATTTAGGTGCAGGAGGTCGAGCCAGCTTGATGCCTCTAAGTAGTCTGCATACCAGGGGGTCCTGCCCAATCGCAGAGCCCTGTAGTGGGACATGCGCTGCCGAAATGGCTGAATGTACTAAGTTGATAGAGCGGTAGGAGCGTCCCAAATCGAACAGGTGAGAAAGGTAATTCAGGATGAATGGAAGAGGAGCCACACACCAAGTACACAAAGATTTCCAGGCAGCGAGATAGCATCTTCACATTGCAGGAGCCTACGAGTCCCAGAGGAGGCTCTTAGTTGTCTGCGATAGTCCTTCGACGTTCCAGGTACCCATGAAAGAGTCCAAGTCACCAACTGAAGACGACTGTCTAATACCATAGGGTGACCCTGTGAGTCCAAGAGAAGCTGGGAACGCTAGAAGGAGTTGGTCTTGGCAGGAGAGGTCTAGGAGATCCGGGAACCAAGTCTGGCCCTGCCATAATGGAGTCAGTAATATCAATTTGACCTGCTGTCTGCGGACCTGCAGTAAGACTCTGGAGATCATCGCAAAAGGAGGGAAAGCATAAGCTCCATTTACGGGCCACTCCGGCAGAAAAGCATCCACAGCTGAACATTCTGTGTTTGGAATCCAGCTGAAAAACCTGGGGACCTAGTAGTTTGACACAAAGAGATCTACCCTGAAGGGTCCTCTTAGGTGGGAGATGCGTAGGAACACGGATTGTGGGAGTCGCCAGTCGCTGACGTCTCTCCAATGTCTGGAGAACCAATCCGCCGTGAGGTTCTCCACTCCGGGAAGGTATTCGGCCTGTAGGGGAATATTGCGTTGAAAACAGAAACTGTAAATATCTTTCGTTACTTCTGAAAGCACTCATGACCGGACCCCGCCCAGACAGTTGATGTATTTCACCGCGGAGATGTTGTCCATTCTCAACAGTATGCAACAGTTTGAGAGTTGTTTTGACAAACTGCGTATAGCGAACGACCCCGCAATCAACTCTAGACAGTTGATATGACCTATGTTCTCTGCTGATGTCCAAGTGCCTCCCATGGAGGCTGTCGGGCCAGAAGCACCCCATCCCCATAGACTTGCGTCCGATTCCACGATGAAGTCTGGGGTGGCACAGAAGATCGCTTTGTTGTTTCACGCCAACATGTGGAGGAGCCACCAATGAAGTTCTTATTGGACCTTTGCTGTTAAGGGAGCCATTTGGTCGTATGAGGGTTGAAGAAACTGCTTTTAAGTGCTGCATGGCTCGATAATGCAAAGGTAGATGGCCTGTATTGAGGCTGATCTAGACGTAACGTCCTGTGGAGTTCCTTCCGGATTGCTGAAATTTTTGATTGAGGGAGGCGGAGGATGCACTTGGAAGCGTCGATCTCGAAACCCAGAAACTGAACCACCTGGGAAGGAGTGAGTGCGGATTTCTCTCGGTTGACCACGAAACCCAAGGACTCTAGTAAGGAGATCGTAAATTGTGACTGAAAGAAATAAAGCGAAAGTAGGAATAGAATAAGGACATAAATTACAGCAAAAATAAATTAACTGAAATAAAGTTATGAAGTAAAAGGTGCAGAAAACGACACCCTGAGATAAAATGATACCAATGCATGTGAATTAAGTACAAAAATACCACAGAAAAAAACACAAATGTAGGACAGTGGCACTCTGACCTGTACTGGTGCGGAGCAGCAGAGAAAAAGGGGGAGTGGCTTGTAGAGCAGAGTCTTATACTGTATTACTCGTTTTTGCTTGGTTCTCACTGTTTCTGTTAAAATGTGCTGCAGTGGAGTAAAGAGAGACTTAAGCAAAATATGAAGCCTCCTGTCATGTAATACAATTAAAACTGTGAGTGAGAGCTGAACGAATTAAGCCATAAATCCTTCTGGACAGGGATTTTTGGGATAGGGAAAAACTCCATAGAACATAATGAGAGGGTACTGATTTGTAGTGTCTATTCCTGGTGTACCGTGCTTCTGCTTGAAATGCATTAACAGAATAACAGAAACAGGAGGAACTTTGAAGCTGAGCATTTTTTTTTTTTTTTTAACTAAATGCACTATCTATATATAGTCATGATGATTGGCTGAGTCACTTTCTGGTTTGGGCAGAGTTCTGCAGAAGCTTGAGGATAAGCAGCAGACGCACTAGTGTCTTTTTATTATTATTATTATTATTATTATAAATTTTTTTTTAATAAAATAGACTTACACAATTTTAAGGCATCATCTGTATATTGCGTTTAAAAATATTAAGTCCATTCCAAATATGAAAAGACTACCCGTAAAATATTAACGTTTGCTAAATTGTACTAGTCTAGATTAAGTTAGATGAGAGCTTTCCAGCTCAGCACATGAAAGGAATGGATGATAATAGGAAATCTAATGAAACCACGAAAAGCTACTTTGAGGTTACCTCATGGTTTACAGCTAAGATTGAGGTTTTTACATCTGTGTTTATTGATATAACAGATATGAAAATTGTATAATTTGCAAAGATGTTGAGGATAGACCAGGTTTGTGGGCACCAATAAAGGCACACTGTCAGATACTTGTGCTAGATGTTTGTGTCTTATACGTTGATTTATAAAAAAAAAAAAAAAAAAAACAATTTAGGTAATTTTTTAAATTTTTTTTTTGGGGGGATTGTTAACTTTTATTTGTGAAATGTTCCTATACTACTTCTAATCGTGTGTGCGTTTATTTATATATATTTTTTTTTCCTTACAGTTATGTCATGATGATGCCTTTCAAGCGTCAGGCATTAGTTGAATTTGAAGATATTGAGTTTTCAAAGGAGTGTGTCACTTTTGCTATGAATGAGCCAGTGTATATAGCCGGCCAGCAAGCCTTCTTCAATTACTCCACAAGCGTACGAATCACAAGACCCGCAAATACAGAAGATCCATCTGGGGGGAATAAAGTTCTTCTCTTGTCTATCCAAAACCCCCTGTATCCTATTACAGTGGTAAGCTTACGTTTCCGAATAGTTTTTAATTTGAATTATTTGAGTGCTCTTGACATTAAAACAAAGAGCTGTAAAGTGTTCTTTTGGCTTTGGCTGCTCAGTCATGCTTATGCTATTGAATGTTTTAAAAAAAGTTATTTTATTTTAGCTAATGTTTACTCTACTGGCAATGTGCTTTGTGCATATATGCATGTACATTAATGCAGCGTTTGTTATCCCACAAGGCATTAGACTTGCTTGACAATATTACTAAATGAATACTCTTTGGTAGAACATGTTATAAATGATAAAGAACTCCCCTTTGAGCTAAGCATTGTGATTGCAAAATTGTCTGGCACAATTGTCTTTTTATGTTCATTAATGGATAATGTATTAAGTGATTATACATTAATTGGGAGTCTTAAAATGTGTCCTTTTTCTGACTGCATTATTTTTAAATTTATTCTTTTAAGGTTAAACATTTCTGATACATATTACAGATAATTGCAATATATATGATTGTAGCTGTAATTTTTTGTTTATTTTATAGTGACATTTTCTCCTTTGATTGCTCTTTCAGGATGTTTTGTATTCTGTCTGCAATCCAGTTGGCAAAGTAGAGCGTATCGTTATCTTTAAAAGAAATGGAATCCAAGCAATGGTTGAATATCCTTCTATTCTTTGTAGACTTTTAATATACAAAAGCAATTCTAAAATAATATTTTTTAAGTTCTAAAATAAATGTTTCCTGCTACCCTTTGCATATAATAATAATATTCCAGAAACTGTGATAACAAAGTATTCACATAATAATCACATGTTCAGAATGCAACAATTTCCCATGACCTACTAGGTAGATACAAATAGTTGCGTCTAGTCTATTATCTATGACCAGTACATCTCACTGTCTGAATTCTAATGCCATTTCATGGTAAGTAGTCAAACTGTTTTAAAAATATTTAATGTTTAAGTCCCCCTGACAACTCTGGTCCTGCTTTCTCTTTTGATATCTAAAGCGGAAATTCTCCTTGGTTGCTGTATCTCTCATGCAGAGATGACTTGTTGGCATTTCATTTTTGGATTGCCCTTGTTGGGGGATTTGTGGGTGGGATCAGTCTGATATGGAAATTGTAGATTTTCTCTTTGTTATGGCACAAGTAATGTAAATGCACAAGTGAGCAAAAACATTTTAGAGACCTAAGCGGGGACTAACTGAAGGGCAAGCTGCTGCGTTTCTCTAAACATTTGCTCGTTCTCATATTCTCTGGTTTTGTTGCAGTGCATTTGCTCAGCTTAAATGGTAAATCATAGATGGAACCCGTGCTCACTGTGTCTAGACTGGTATTGGTTTCTCCTATCTGACAAGGCCGAATGAAAGCAGAAAAAATTGTCCAGGGTTGCTGCTACTCTCGTGCAGAGAGGACTTGCTGGTACTTTGGTTTTGGAATGCCATTATTGGTGGTACATGTCTGATATATGCAAATGGTATAGGTTAACTTTGTAATGGAATGACTGAGCAAAAGCATTTTTGAGACATTAGCGGGAACTAACCAAAGGGCAAGCTACTGAGTTTCTCTAAGCTTTTGCCCATTCTCACAGTTCTGGTATCTTCTGCTTTTGTTGCATGACATTTTACCAACAGCGAGATCATGGAATTAATTACCAATTAGTCATTTGGAGGGTTAGCAACTGCCGTTAGTGGTTGATTTCAGAACTGCTGAAACTACTAAGTTACAGGTAGCTGCTCCTATACAGAATACTCTGTGACTGTCTTTTTATCGCAGCTGCTTGTAACTTCCCATTGCTGCTTGAAATTGTTAAACAACCTCTACTTGCTAAATGCAGCACCAGTTCGCAAGTTGCCTTTAACAAATTGAGAAAATATCTTTGTCTCAAGTGAATGAAATATAGGAAATGTCCAGCCCTCTTTGCAAACCTAAAATGAGAATATGTTAAACTCGCAATAATGATTGCTGAACCTTTCTTTGCAGACGTGATTATGAAAAAGCTTTGACAGATTCTAAACAAATTTCTTTCTATCACTGGTCTTTAGAATGTTAGAATTTCAGTTGGTTTAATTGGTTTTTTTTGTTTTATTGTTTTTCTAAATATGTAACATTGAGTGATTATTGTAAGCTTCCTTAATATAGCTAACATTTGACACCGTGCTCAGTGCTCAGAAAGCCAAAGCTGCGCTAAATGGAGCAGATATATATGCGGGATGCTGCACGTTAAAGATAGAGTATGCCAGGGTAAGTAAAAAACATACAAACTGCTCTTTAATGGGACCCTGTAGTCAATATAACCATCTCATTGAATTGACTATAATGCTTGGAGTCCCTGGCACTGTCCCTCCATTCAGTGTTAAACAATTTTCAAGAGTACCTGGCCACCCATAGCCTTGCCTCTACTGGAGATGTGGCTAAAGCAAGAGATGACATACTCCTTAGTAGGCTTGTAGTCATGTCCATTCATACTGGCAATGCGCTCTCTGAAAAGCAGTCTCACAAGTGAAAAGAGTATCACAAGCAAAAATTATTATACAATTGTCAAGAGTATAGGGAACATGAGTTGTAATATTATTTGTACAAACTGGGTTGTTACTCTTTTTTATAATATAACATACGGTTTATAAAGGTAGAAACATGCTCGGTAAAACAAGCAGGGATAAATCATGCTTGAGTAGGGAAACATCGGAGTAGAAACCACCCTTGGCTGCTTTAGAGTAATATCTCAGCTGGTAGCCTTAAATGTTGACATATTCATCTGGAGTGTGCTAATGCAGGTTAATAAAAAGGTTGAATAGAAATGGTTAACTGAAATTAAAAGCAGGAGCAATGGAGAACATGTTGCCACAGTAGCCAGCTGACTAAAATAGAGCATGGAACGGGAGACTCAGCGTGGGGGTCAGCCTATTCCCATTGTAGAGAATTTACAGTCCCACTCGGAATGGATCTGAATCAATGACAGAGGTGACAGCCCTCAGGTATTGTGGCTTCTGTTGCCTTCCACCCAGTTCTCCCATATTCCTTTCCTCTGTAAATCCCGTTCTAGGTATAGCCTGCGCCGGGGCCTGCCAGCTAACTGCTCGCCTTGCGGAGCGCTGATATGGTCTTCGCCGCCGTAGGCATGTTTGTCTCGTGGGAGAAGTCACTGTTCGGCACGGTGGGCAAAACGACTGCTTTGTAGGAACTTTCACACTTGCAGATGAGGCCCGCTTGTACTGGGCCTCCAAGAGCTGGACTATAGATGGCAGCTCCGCGCCAGGATTAAGGGTACTAGTGGCGTCCGCCGTCTCAAGTGTGTTGCCGCTGGCATCTGCGACACAGCCATGACCTCTTGGTGGAGCTTGGACGCCACCAGAGTGGGGACCAGGATCACCCCCACCGGTCCAAGGGGGGGGGTCAGCAGGGTGTCCTGAACATATCTGGACCCTGTCGGCGCCGTACCGGGAGACTGGCCGCCTCACTGGAGCAAGGCGTGCAAAACTGTTCTGAGGACCGCTGGAACCGTTCCCTGCATGGTCTGAGAGCTGAAGTTGCAAAGCATATGTAGCATGTGTGTAGAGAACTGCTAGAACAGCTGTAGTAAGCGGTTTGTTTAGTGTGTCTCAGGGAGCTTTCAAGAGACACGTCTGGGCGCCATAATGGTCAAAAACTAATTGAATGAAAGTACTGCACCAGGAGACTCCAGACACTAACCAGTTTTTAAAATTGTATTTTATTTCTTACTGGCATTTATAAAGCGCCAACATATTCCACCGTTAAACTAGATGAAGCAGATACAGTACCTACAGCATGCTACCCCAACCTCCGGCCCTCCAGATGTTGCTGAACTACAACTCCCATGATTCTATGAATGAAATAGATGGGCTGAGAATCATGGGAGTTGTGGTTCAGCAACATCTGGAGGGCCGGAGTTTGGGGAAGCCTCGGCTAGTGTCCCTTAATGATTTTGGTAACTCTGGTAAAACTGACTGTTTTTTGTAATTCTGTACAGCCCTCACGACTCAACGTTATTCGCAATGACAATGATAGCTGGGATTACAGCAAACCCTACCTAAGCAGAAGAGGTAAGAGTTGCATTTTATTGTTGTAAATTCTGGAATTATTTGATTGGTCTTTGAAGTGATCTTTTTGTTAAGAATTACAGCATAGACTTGGCTTTAGTTGCCATATCTGTGGTGAACTGGTCAAATTCCCGAAGGTTGTCCACACTTGCAAACATGCTTGCAGCACCAAAGACGTTTATTTTCTACAAGCATCGCATTCCCTTTCCTCTTTCACATTTTCTGTCTCTATAGAGGGTGGGCGAACTCACTTTCAAACTTATAAACTTGCACACTGCATCTCAACGGAAAAGACTTTGTTCCCACGCATTAATGCTGGACAAGGCACTCAGAAGTCTAGAGGAGGATCTCCATCAGGCTGACTCTACACCTACTTCATGCACCACATCGGCACCAGCAAAACAACTTTCTGAAAACCACAGACTTGCAACTCACATTGACTGCATTCAGCATGCATCATCATCACCACAGGCTCCCAAAGAAGGACACTTGCAAGCCCTTTGCATATATGCAAGGATTGAATGTTGTTGTAGATCATTGAGAACTTTCACCTGGACTTGCAGTCTGTGATTAAAATCCTTAGAATGTAAACTGGCCTTTATACCATTTGAGGAAAAAAGGACAAGAGCAGTATTTTTTGTACATTTTATTTTGTGCCTGGATTATGCTCATTTCGTTCAAAATGAGAACTACTATTTCATGATGAAGACCAATAGTAAGCATAGTAGAGGATAGTGTCCATTTTTTGATGTTTGAAAACCTAAAAATTGAAGGGTTATAAAGATTGTAGTAGCATTGCAAATATTACACAAGAATTGCCAATTACAAGAGGAAAGTTCCTATCCAAACATATAGGTTGTATATACTATATAATTTCATATGTTATAGATACAGCAGTTTAAAAGGTTACAGAATTGAGTTAATTTTATGTAAAACAAATGGTATATTAATAGTTGGTCTTTTTATATTTTTTCTGGTAATGCTACAGGAGAGGTGTATTCCACTCTTATGAAGTTGTCAGAGAGTATTAAACTACTCCTAATATTTCTGATCATTTGTGCTAGCCTGGCCGGTAGCAAAAGTAGGGATTAACAGATAAAACAAAACTTACTCCAGGTTTAGATTTCTTTTCTGTTCTTATGTACACTTTACCCGGCATCCACATATTTATGTGTTTGCTTAGGCACTAAAACCAAGGTTGTGTTTGCTCGATAGATAGTGGCAATATTTTGGAGAAAATTGTTGGTGTGAGATGAGCACGGAGTACAACTAATTGTGAAGTCCATGGTTTTCCTATATTCACCAATATCTGCATCTGTTCTGATGAATTTTACCACAAACATTTAAAGAATGGTCTTCTTCTATGTAGTTGTTTTTAGCATTATACACCGTAGCTTTATTTGTAATGCTATCTGCCTCTTATGCCAGTGCTACTTAATGTGACTATAATGAATGAAATGCAGTTTCTGCATATGGATGTTACGTATTTGTATAGAATGAAGGGTGCTATATACCTTCATATACTCCCCTTCCTCCTTCCCATACCTTGAAATAGGAAGCATGTGATTGATCAAGAAGTGTGAGATTCCCCGTATATTTTAGTGATTTCTGGTGGTCTCTTGTTGTAAATGACAATTGGATACCAATCATATCCAATGTGCATTAAGCAACACTTTGGATGAGCAATGTTTTAGTCCATGTTGAATGAACATCTTGGCTGTTGGATGATTGCTGCAGCAGTACACTGTGCTAATAGTATAGGTGCCACCGTGCCAGACCTGGTCTAGTGCTGCTACAGGCAGATTAAATAATACACTGTCTGTTTGCACTTGGGGTCTGTTTACACATGGTGGTTCATCAGCCGTAAATACAGCAAACTGCTTCTTGTATGGTTTTTGTTTTTTTAAAAGAGGTGAACATTCTCCTTGGTATTTCAAGCAGACCAGCTTGTGGTCTGGCTACATGACATTTAGGCTATTGCTAGCCTATGCAAACATCCATGGTAAGGCTTCATTAATGCCAAATTTGTAGGTATCAACCGAATGGTCTGTGTGTGGTGTACCTGGTGTTATATGTTTCAGGTGTTTAAGCTGGTAGGTTCTACTAATTGGTATTGAGGCCATGAGCTTGTGTGTATTCCCCTTTCACCCCCCCCCCCCACACACACACACCACGGTTCATATTCCTCTCTGAAACTTAAGGACAAACATGAACAGGGGGATACAATCAGCCACAGGGTATGAAAAACACAACTACGTAATTGGTCAGTGTGCTGTAGGTCTGGTCATAGACAGGACTTGGAAGTCAATCATGAGTGAAAAGAAAGTGTACGTGTGAGATCATGGCACGGTTTGAAATAAAGGAGATCTCTCCTATTCCCTGCTCAACTTTTATAGAGTATTCTTTACGTTTATCCAGTTTCATTTCAGTAGTCCCTATCACAGTCCTAACCTATTTTCTTAGTAGCCAACATTTTTTTTCTCTTTCACATAAGACATGTAAGGTCATTTACATATTATTTAACAAAATATGAATTTTCAAGAAATTATACACAATTGTAATGGTAATCTATAAGTATTGTAACTGTCATATATTTAAAAGGGTAGTTTTCTGAAAAGAGGAGTGGGGGGAGTTTAATACTTTAATACTTAGGGCAAGCTAGGGAATGCCCTGATGCTTTTGTGATGTAAATAGTGTAGAGGCCAAATCTTCTCTGGTTCATCAATGTGGACAGATTTTGGAAAGTAATAGATGTCTTTTAAAACGGGGTTATCCACTAAAATGAGAATTCAAACTGAATTCCTAATGTAATATCACGGTAGATGAACTAAAAGCATAGCTGACTTTCAGAATTTTTCCAGGAGGTCTATTTTGACCCTTAATCTATATTCACATTCGTGAATAACCCTGATTGTATTCAATTCAGAAGTGTTTCATTGTTTTCATTTGAGGAATCTATATCTTAAAGTAAATTTGGAGCATTACCCCCTTTCCCAAAAAAGACACCCTACTTTGTATTGTATTTTTGTTGTTTTACAGTTAACACAGTGTATGTAAATACATGCAGTACAAATTGCAGTTTCTTTTATTTTGTATGTAACTGATGAAACAATGAACACTGTAACCGTTGAAACACAAATGTATGTGACCATTTGCATGTAAAAAGTTTGTAATAGACACTTCCTCTGGGCGTACGACCCTTTTTAGAAAATGTTTGTTCCCTTTTTTAACATTGTCCACTGTATTTACTGATTGTGAAACCATGTAATACAGGTGTTTGTTGGAATATGCTGAAACATCTTGAAGGGAGACCTCTTTGAAAATGTGTTGCTGGTGAAGCTAATAGTAGGATTCAGGTACTGTTTTATAAACATGCTATGCTACATGTTTATTTCCTGATCTATTCTGTAAATCCTAGTAATGTATTGTGTGATGTTTAGAAATGTCTATATGCTGTGCTTTTCCTATGAATACCTCAACTTCTTTATTCTATGTAGTAGTTTGAGGTTCTTTGAATCTTCCTCATTGTAATATGACTGGTTTTTAACTTGTGAGTACTTGGATATATGTATTTATGGTTTCTTTCTCGGTTTATGGGCTGTACCTCTAGGCTTATTCTTCCATTTCCTGGCCAATTCTTCTCTAGAACACTGAAGGCGTCATGATATATATATATATATATATCAGGCCACCATGATCAGTACTTGTAAGAAGAGATATCTCTAGCTCAAAATGATGCTATACAAGAGTGGTTAAGTGATCTGTTCTGAAAACCTGCTAGCTATATATTTCGTAAAGTTAAACTACTGTTATGAAGAGATTTGTGGGATAAGATCAGGTTCCATTGAACACACTGACATTTTCCTGATTGGCTAAGTTTATTATTGATCTGGACAGCGTTCAGCAGGAACATGAACTTTAAAGGTGAGTTGTTGTGTTTTTTTTATTTTTAAATTTATTTACATGTTAAATACTGTAATGAATTATAAATAATGTAACTTCAAGCTTGGAGTGTTCCTTTAATTAAAATCCATACTTTCAAGAATACTAGTGTGAAAGTTTGTTTATAAAGAAAACAAAAAATACTTATTGATTTTATATTTCTGTTTCAGATCATGGTAAAGGCCGCCAGAGGCAAGCCATTCTTGGAGACCACCCATCTTCCTACAGATATGATGGTTATGGTAGGTGTGCTTTGAAACTACCAATTTGCTTAATATTTCATACTATTCACACTTAAATTATCAAAATATGACCGCATCAACCGGCTCTTCCTCTATAACCACTCAGTATAGTCCTTATTTGTAATTCAGGCCTGTTTACTAACCCCCAAGCGTAAGTGCTATGAAGGAAACAAAAAGCTTTCTAAAGCTAAGCTAAACTGCTCTGTTTGAACCACAACTGCTTTAACTATTTAATAGATGGCAGTATTGTTTATATATGTGTGTGTGTATATGTGTATATGTATGTATGTGTGTGTGTGTGTATATATATATATATATATATATATATATATATATATATATATATATATATATATATATATATATATATATATATATATATATATATATATGATTGGAAATGACCGCACTCCAAGGACTTGTTGATAGTAAAAATAAAATATAACTTTTTTTATTCTATATCATATAAAAAAATATCGACGTTTCAGCCCCAATACATGGGCTTTCATCAGGATGGCAATACAATACACAAATACATATAAAATACTTATATAGCAAAACATAAAAGGATACTAACCAGCTTCATGTGTGAGAGAACCGAAATGGCGTTCAAACTGCACGTGGAACAGCTGATCAGAGTGCTTCAACCGTAGTTCCATTTGGTTGCTAGGTGATCAGTGGAACGCACTTTCACCCCATTGCTATGCTGTTAGATCGGTAGACACAGAGCTAGTATTGCTATGTGTATGGATCTTCAAATCATTCCCTCTGCCTGCTACTTTCTGGCACTGTGCCTGGAATGCAAAGTATCAGTAGGCACCATACATCATACATACATCATGTGCTGCAGCACTAACAGGATAGAGCCCTTGACAGGACTTCAGTCTGGCAGAGTGCAAATGCCATCACACTCAGCCAGCTTGGGTCTTCACTTCTCACAAATAGAGGGGGGATATAAGTGCCCAAAGAGAAGTTAGAAGTGTGTTATAAACCGAATATAAAGCCACACTATTGTTTTGTAAACCAGCCAATATGGAGCTGTGTAGAGATGGACAAATACTGCCAAGTCCATTATGTTATAGTCAAACTACCCCCCATATAGCTATATTTAAATGGTACTCCCCAATTCCTAGCAGGAGAAAATGTGTAAATACATAAAACATATATTAAAGCTTTAATATATGCTTTTATGTATTTACACATTTTCTCCTGCTAGGAATTAGGGAGTACCATTTAAATATAGCTATATCCAATCATTTTTTTTGTATCTTGTGCCTGACCAGCACCGGGCAATTACTCTCTAATCCATCTCCGTATTTATGTGTGTGTGTGTGTGTGTATGTATGTATGTGTGTGTGTATATATATATTTTTTTTTAGGTCCCACTGACTCTATAAGGCACCTTTGATTTAATTGTTGTGTCCATTCTCATTATCTGTGTTCCTCAAACTACCAATCATGCTACCAATCATACCCGATTTTTTTTTTTTTTTCTTCAAAGTACTAATTACTTTGGAATATTGTCATTTGTATTATTTTGGGGAGCATCCTTTTGCTATTCAAGAACATGACATCTGTTTTCATAAAAAGGATAACTACATTTTTTGTAAGAATGTTGCTTCTAATACCTTCCACCTCCTGGTCCTCTCCCCTCCTTCTGTATCGTGCAGTGTTAATTTTGATGACTAACAATTTTAGTCGACTAAAATATGACTAAAAGTCAAAAGACTATGACAAAAACTAAATTGAAATTTACCACCAATATTAACACTGCACAGAGAGCTGTGGAAAGGGCAAAAGAGACAGACCAGGGCTTGGGAGAGAGACATCTAGAGGGTCTGGGAGAATACAAAAAGACACACAGGGGGCTGGGGAAAGGGCAAAAGAGACCAATGGAGGCTTTAACTAAACCCATTAGATTTTAGTTGTCTACTACAATCTCCTGGAGGTTCAGCGGACTGCAATGGCTTTTTAGTCAAGACTATGAATAAAACTAAATTTGCTGCCAAAATTAACACTAGTATTGTGCATCCGTAAATGAATTGTGTGTGTGTGTGTGTGTGTGTGTGTATGTATATATATATATATATATATATATATATTTATTACTGCTGTTTAGGCATTTAAATTAAGAAAATAATATAAATGTATGCATTGTTTATTTTTTGTGCCCAGGAAATCATGGCCCCCTTCTACCTCTACCAAACCGCTATAGGATGGGATCAAGAGATACACCGGAGCTGGTTTCTTATCCTCTACCCCAGGCATCCTCTTCCTACATCCACGGCTCCCCTCCAATAGGCTCTGTCGCCATGGTTAGCAGCTTGCATCAGGAGAAAATGAACTGCTCTCGGGTCTTCAATTTGTTTTGCTTGTATGGTAACATTGAAAAGGTAGTGTACACATTTGCTTTGTAGTTTTTATTAAAATGTCTATATTTTAATGCTTTAAATTAATTAAATAGGCACCCAGACCACTTCATCTCAATAAAGTGGTCTAGGTACTAGGGATCGACCGATATTGATTTTTTACAGCCGATACTGATAATCTGTGAACTTTCAGGCAGATAGCCGATAACTTACGATATTCTGTACATTTACCATTTTGAAAAAAACTATTTCTAAAGGTAAATGCACAAATCATACATGCCACATGTAGTGGATGCAGTGTGTTTAGACAGGGGAGCTGTGTGTATTTGTGTAGTGTGTGTGTAGTGGATGCTGTGTGTATTTGTGTAGTGTGTGTGTATATATAATGAATGCAGTGTGTGTGTATAGTGAATGCAGTGAGTGTTTGTGTAATGTGTGTGTGTGTGTGTGTGTATATATATATATATATATTAGAATGCTGTGTGTGTATAGTGAATGCAGTGAGTGTTTGTGTAGTGTGTGTGTGTGTGTATATATGTGTGTGTGTGTGTGTGTGTGTGTATATATATATATATGTGTGTGTGTGTGTGTGTGTGTGTGTATATATATATATTTATTAGAATGCTGTGTGTGTGTGTGTGTATAGTGAATGCAGTGAGTTTGTGTAGTGTGTGTGTGTGTATATATATTTAGAATGTAGTGTTTGTCTAGTGTGTGTGTATAGTGAATGCAATGTTTGTCTAGTGTGTGTGTGTGTATAGTGAATGCAGTGTTTGTCTAGTGTGTGTGTGTGTGTGTAGTGAATGCAGTGTGTTTGTCTAGTGTGTGTGTGTGTGTGTGTGTATATAATGAATGCAGAGTGTGTTTGTCTAGTGTGTGTATAGCGAATGCAGTATATTTGTGTACTGTGTATGTGTGTTTCTGTAGGTATGTAATTTGTATAAAATGAGGGGGGGAAGAGGAGGCATTTAAAAAAGTGTGTTGTTTTTAGTTTTTTTTAAATATTACATTTAAAAAAAAAATGTATTCCCCCCCCCTCTCTGCTTGTTACCTGGCCATGGAGGTGGGCTATGGCATTCCCTGGTGGTCCGGTGGCATGGACTGTACAGCGGGGGCCCAGCAAGCGCTTACTTACCTTCCCGTCAGCTCCCCAGTGTAAATCTGGCGGCCAGCGTGCTGCGCGGAGCGGTGTCATGGTAACCCGTGGCAACAATCTGACGGCTGCGGGACTCGCAAGATTTACAGTGGGGAGCTGCTGGGAAGGTAAGTAAGCGCTTGCTGGGCACCCCAGGACAGCCAGGCTTGTTATGGTCCCGGCATGTATTATCGCCAATATTTGTATCTGTTTGCCAATACCGATATATTGCCAAATATCAGCCGATAATATCGGCCAGACAGATTATCGCTCGATCCCTACTAGTTACCATGTGCACCTCATTTTAATCCTGCAGCTAAAAACAGTGCCATTCTGCAGGCAGTGTTTTTGTTGCAGAGTTAACCTGCCTCTGGTGGTTGTAATACTGACAGCCACTAGTGGTGCTTCCTTGAAGTAGTGGAGTACTTAACTATTTTTTTATCATAGAGACCATCTGATTGGTGCAGCACAGCATATTGCTGCGCATACACACTAGCCTCCCAATCCTTTCGTGGAGACCAGTGCTGTCCCTGGCAGTGGGGGACACATTTGCATTCTTAACGCTCTAGTGTTCCTTTAAGTATTTCACAAAGTGGAAATTACACTTTCCCTCATTCGTATATCAGTCTGGTAACCCTCATTCTGGGTGGCTAGCTCACAGTCTTCCAGTTTAAGAAAAATGAATTGATTCATTTTGGGAGTGAAGGTCAATGTGCATAAAGCCGATTAGTTAGAGCCATAAAAACAAACTGGTGAAAACTTACAGCATGCCCAACCTCAAAGTCCTTGTGTAGGGTCTTAAGATATTGCATTGTTTTACTTGCTGGGACCATGCATTGTCTTGAATCTGCCACGTTCTCCTGAGTGGCTTCTCCTTTATCCATAAGGGATTGTGTCTCCTCTTTCACTACTGCATTCTCTGCAGACCACTTCCTTATGTTTTTTTTCAAGAGATTTGTGAGGTCCTTTTTGTAGAAGGGGTATTTCTCTTTCAATGAAGATTCCTCCTCTGAAGTTGATGAGTTGTCAGTCCTCTGTCTTAGTAGGCACCTCTATTTTAGATCTCACTGGACACAAACATGTATTACAATGTCTATTGTGTCACTGCTCAGGCAGGCCCAACAGGTGAGTGAGGAAAAGCATATCTTAGCCAGTACACTGTGCAGAAGAGATTGTGTCCTCATTTGAGTAGATACAGTGGTAGCCTTAAAACCTCTTATTTAGCTTGGATATCTCCTTAAAAGAAGGGCAATAGCTAGTATCCTGGACCCTCAAGACATCAACCTAATGGTTTCCGAAGATTCTCTTGGAGCATTGAGAAGCTGTCTGGTTAGGCTGCACTCTGGTTCTGTCTCATTACAATTATTTTTATCACTTTGAGAAAATACTATATCATTACTATTCTCTGCCTTTCTCCAGAATTAGGCATTATCTGTCTTCTATTAGACTGCTCACTCATTCTTTGTATCTCTCTCCCCGTTAAATTTCCCACTCTGCCATTACAACTCTCTTCTAGACTGTCGATTCTGTCATTTCATTTCTTTCTCTTCCAGTAGACGACCCACTCCATAATTTTATCTGTCTGTCACATTAGACTGCCTATTCTGTTTTCTCTTTGCTCATCCATTAATCTAATCAATTTGTCATTACATTTTTCTCTGACGTTGCACAAATCTCTTCCATTAGTTTTCTTACTTTGCTAATATAAAACGCTCTCTTCCTTTAGACTGCACATCTCTATCCCATTTCATTGTTTCTCTCATTAGTCATTTGATGTTTCTCCAGTCAGACATTTCCCTATACTTGGCTCTACCTGCTAATAGACTGCTCACTATGTCATTGCACATTACTGAAGAAATTACTTTCACAGTATATTATGGTAACATTTCTGGCAAAATGTAGTGACAATGCATTGCTAACAATATTTTAAACAGAGCATTGTCTGACTCAAAGCACTTATTTTACTTCTCATTTTGTGTAATTGAAGGTGAAGTTCATGAAGACTATTCCTGGCACGGCTCTTGTGGAAATGGGCGATGAGTACGCTGTTGAAAGGGCAGTCACACATCTGAATAACGTAAAGGTTTTTGGAAAGAGACTAAATGTTTGGTAAGCACAGTTTGGATATCAAAGAAACATAAATGACCCGGTTTCACTGGCTGTTTGAAATTCATTTTTTTACCTTGTTTGGTTATGAATTTATAGTTTATAAACAGGGCAAACCCTGCTTCTAGGAAAAGAGGTCAGAATCAATGTGCCTTCTTTTCCTTGGTACACATAGGGATAAACAGTTTATCCTTGATAAAAACTGGAGGACTCAGGCTGTCTAGAGGAGTCATTAAATGCATACATATTCAGTAGGTAGTGTGGTCTGTTGTAGTAGAGTGTTCTGTGGATCATATGGAGAGGTTTAAATGATGGGCAGTGTATGCTGGGTAGCTGGTTAACTTACTTTTCCTATAGTGAGGTTGAACCATTTCTTGTTAAAGATAGTGCTGAAGAGTTGTGTATGGGCTACTGAGACAGTAACATGTTATCGGTCACACTCTCATGCAAAATGTTATGAGAAATTGTGAGTGTATGTTAAGTAACCCCACATATTGTGGCAAATCACATGCTACTCTGGACTACAACCAAGGAAAATCTACATGCACAGAAAAAAATACCTTCGGTGAAACCACAGAGTAAATAGTCTTAAATGAACACTATAGGGTCAGGAACACAAACATGTATTCCTGATCCTATAGTGCAAAACCCACCATTAAGGTGGCTTGTCCCCCTTATCTGCCTTAAAAGCATGAAAAACTCAACTTATTTGAATCAATGCATTTTTATTCCATTTTCATTCGGGCCCCCATCCGCTGCTCATGGGTGTGGCCGCTAGGTGTGTCCCTCTCTCCCCATTTTCATTTAGCCCCCACCCGTTGCCCATGGGAGAGGCCAGGGGAACAACAGGTGTGTGCCGTCCCCCTCCCCCTGACCCCCCATTTTTATTCAGGTCCCTCACCTACCGCTCATGGGTGGGGGAAGGACAATAGGCCCCGCCCCCCCCATTTTCATTCAGGGCCCCCACCTCTCATGGGTGGGGGTGAGGACAATAAGTCCTCCCCCCCCCCTATTGTAATTTAGGGTCATAGGTCCCCCCCGGGCATGCGCAGGAATTTCACAGCGCTATCTAGTGTGGGCAGATGACGTGTCCCACAGGGACTTTATCTACCCACACAAAGATGGCGGCACCTAGGTCCGGGTCCGAAAGAAAGATTTCAAAATAGGTAATATGTGGATATGGGGGGCTTAGGGGATATCTAGGGGGACAATTGGATGTAGTGGAGTCGGGAGGGGGGGTAAAAAAAAAAAGGGGGGGGGATTTGTCCATGACCGTGTCGCTTTAACATGTTACAAACACTAGATAGCGCTGTGAAATTTTTACTTCTTAGGAGGCATTATTATTAATAAGAAGGGATGTGATGATTTACTTGTTGAATATGTACTTCATCCAGCACCATAACAATCTCATCTCCGTAAATTCAATGTAGTGTCGGTACGTTCTGGGTATAGCCACCAAAGCCCTGTTGACAGGGTCTGTCTATTTGGCCTTTCTTCCTTTCAGTGGACAGCTGCCATCGAGAAGGCTTTGAGTTTAAACCCTTTGAAAACTGTTTAACCCCATAAAGTACAGTGGCAACCAGAACCTATAGACACCAGGGCAACTTTATTTAGATGAAGTTCTAATGGTTCTGGGAGTGGTCCTTTAACTCATGATGTTCTTGCATTGGACAGTGATCTTTAGTTTAGTATTGTCAGTACCGCGTTTACAGAAGATTGCCATTTTCCCTTCATGGATATTCTTGAATACTGCAGTAGTGGTGGTTGCCTGTGTTTTTATGGTCCTTTCAAGTTCCAGTTTAGAGCTTTATGCTTTTATGATATAGTTGGAAGTTTAGGCCTCTCTTTCTGATGACCTCATGCAACTATACTCTCACAAAACAAGTCACGTCATTGAGGCAAGGGAAAAAATAGAGAAGGTGCTATTTTTTTTTGTATTTTTTAATATATATATATATATATATATATATATATATATATATATATATATATATATATATATATATATATATATATATATATATATATATATAATTATTATTATTTTTTTTCAAAATTTCTAGTGTGCAAAACAATGCTGGTATACTTATTGTGAGTTTATTTAACACATAAAATCTGGACAAACTACTTTTATTATATTTGTATTCTTGTTTATTTGGTACTACACTATACATTTATCATATTTCTTGTTAGATTGTCTTAATCCATATTTGGTAGTGTTCACTCATATACAGGGTTATTCACAGAGTGAATTTTCAGGCATTCAGCTGGAAATTGCAATTTTTGACCAAAATAGCTGACTTCAAAACATTTTTCAGCCAGCTACGCTTTTTAGATGAGCTGTTTTGGCCTTTATTTTTCAATTCCCTGTTGATTTTCCAGCTATTTCTTTCTATATTTTGTGAGGTTTTATTTGGGCCTATCTACTCTCAGCCTACCTACCAACCAAGAAAATATTATACAACTACCTATTTAAAGGGAAACCATTCCTTCCCAGGATATTTATTATTGTTTTTACTTGGCCCCTATATTTGAAAATGAGGTCTCCAAAAAAAAACTAAATGTAAACTTTTGCACACCTTATTAAACTGCATCATGACACTGAGCGCCACCATCTCTGATTGTGATGTGAATTGCTTAATCTTTAATACACATTTCAAATAAGTCACATGGAAAACAATGTTAACTCAAGTTATAGGTGATTTCAACATTTTCTAATATGGCATAATTTAAAGAGAAGCTATGGCTCCCCTTTTCGGGGAAATATTCATTTTTTTTTTTTTTTTTCTGTGATTAGTGTTTCCAAGCAGCATTCTGTCGTCCCGAGTCAGATCTTTGAACTAGTTGACGGTACAAGTAGTTACAAAGATTTTGCAATGAGCAAGAATAATCGGTTTACCAGTGCTGGGCAAGCCTCTAAGAACATAATCCAGCCACCATCTTGTGTTCTACACTTTTACAATGTACCCTTGTGCATGGAAGAAGTCATGTTCCAAAAGGTAACCATTAAACGAAATAGTTTTCTTCTTTTACCCCTTGCTAGAAAAAGTAATATCCCTTTAATATTGTGTTAAAGCCCATATAGGTAAGAGTGCTCAATAAATTCACTATTTATTTACAGTAGTTCAAGTCTTAAACTGCCAACTTGAAGTTCTATCTAACCAATCTCTCTGCACAAGGCTTATGGCAAATGTTATTCACTAAAGTGTGAATTGTCAGTAATTCAAATTCACGTCAAATTTAAAATATAGCTGACTTGGGAAAATATTTTCACGTTTGAGCTAACATTTTATTTCACTTTGGATTCCTGAACCATCACTGATGTCCAGATGCCCTTTACTATGGATCAACAGTGTTGTCCAGTTATTCCCTATAGCCTAAATCCTTTATTAGGAGGTTGCTCCCGGTCTCCCTTTTTACACGAGAGGAATATTTCACAGAGAAATATAACTAAATAAGCTGTACATATTTAACATACTTTATACTATACAAGCCTGTACATTTTCATCAACCTTATTTACTAAGCCACAGGTGAAAGGATTTTCTAAGCACCTAAACAATTTCAGCCTAATTAAGTGGTCTTTGTGTATAGATCTCATCTAATAGTTTAAGCAATATGCTTCCTATAACCTAAACCAGCACTGTCAGCCAGTTTTTTTGCTGTATGTTTTAATGTTTTCTTGCTTTTGTTTGCAGCTCTGTGAAGACCACAAAGTTCCCATGTTCATCAAATTCAAAGTGTTCGATGCTAAACGTTAGTACAACTTCTAGTTATGTATATACTATATGCATTGAATGTTTGTTACTCCTTGTTCACTTCTTGTATACTTTCTTCAGCATCATCTAAAACACTCTCCGGACTACTTGAATGGGAAAGCAAGACTGAAGCCGTGGAAGCTCTCACCGTATTAAATCACTACCAAATAAGAGTACCTAGTAAGTTTAAACTCTTAGATATGCATTATAATGCAGTCCTGGCATTGATTTTACTTATTTCTTTATGTTAAAGGGACACTCAGCAACATAAAAACTTCAGTTTGTTGCAGTGGCAATGGCAAAAAAGATCCTGTCCTTCCAGTTCAATTAAAAACTCTTACCAGAACATCACCTAGCTCTAAGCAGGCATAGCATGTTGACATACAGAGACTGCCCTTTTTTTGTGTGCTGGATGGAGCTGGGAACACACCACTCTTCATAGAGACAGGAGCTGTCTTTGCACTTGCAGGTACTTGCTTCCTCATGAGCAGTGACATATCAGGTCTTTGGTGTGACTTGACATGCCATGTAGTAAGTGGTGTAAGTTCTGGCTCTTTGACTAACGGGGCTTGTAGGCAGAGCTATGAGCTCCACTTTTAAACCCTATGTTGTCAGTTTGACAATTTTGTCAAAGGTAAGGCTGCAAGAACAGTGTCCTGGCACCATAATTACTTAGTAAGTAGTTATTGTGCCTACGGTGTCCCTTTAAAAACAATGTCTTTTTGAATACATGTGATACTGTACAAAGCTGTGCATGTTCATCAACCTATTTTCTAAACCATGGGTGAAAGGGACATTTTTCATGCACTAAAACAACTTCGGTTTAAAGAAGCACTATAGGAACACAAACATGTATTCCTGACCCTATAGTGTTAAAACCACTATCTAGCCCCCTTATGCCTCCCTAAAGATAGTAAAATCTTACTTGTATTAAAGTCTGAAGCTGCTGCCTCTGCCTGTGAACTTCCTCTGACATAATCAGACGTGGTGGCCTGACTTAATCACAATGCTTCCCCATAGGATTGGCTAAGACTGACAAGGAGGCAGATCAGGGGCAGAGCCAGCATGATTCAAACACAGCCCTGGCCAATCAGCATCTCCTCATAGAGATGAATTGAATCAATGAATCTCTATGAGGAAAGTTCAGTGTCTGCATGCAGAGGGAGGAGATACTGAATGTTTGGATGCATTTTAGGCAGCCATGACCCAGCAAGGATCTCTAACAGCCACCTAAGGAGTGGACAGTGAAGTTATCACTAGGCTGTAATGTAAACACTGCATTTTCTCTGAAAAGACAGTGTTTACAGAAAAAGCCTGAAGGTAATGATTCTACTCACCAGAACAAATTCAATAAGCTGTAGTTGTTCTGGTGACTATAGTGTCCCTTTAATTAAGTGGTTTTGATGTGTAGATAATTCCCCTGCCGCGTAACTGCTCACTTCATCCACCTCATAGGATTTAAAGGATACCTGTCATGACAAATACAACTTAATCCTAACTGATAGTATCATCTATACATTGTGGTGGCAGAATTGCTAACAAATGTCTAGGTTTCTTTAAAATCAGTGATTAGAAAACCCTTTTTTTTCTCCTGTCAGTCATTTCTCCCTCCTGTCAGTCATTTTGGGCTGTGCCGATCCTTTGCTCTGCATGTCTGTTATCAGGGAAATCCTCTCCTGCTTGAATTCATCCTAAGGGAAAGCAATACCTGCAAGCAGAATTGGCAGGCTCTTTGTGAGTGCAGCCGCAGGGAGAGGAGAGAAACCGCCAGAATCCTTTATTGTAGCAGCTTTGAACAGGCAATCTGTCAATGGAAAGAGATAGCAGATAAATTAGTTTTGGGGACTTTTAACCTATTATGGGAAGTGTCAGGATTGGGGTAGGAACCAAAACACAAAAACCCAGAGCACAACTGATCCTTAGAACTAACAAAGAACAGAGTCAGAGTAATAGCCATGGTCAAGAATAGGAGAAAACTGGATAAACTGATACAAGCAGAGTCAAAAAAGTACAGAGATCAGGATAAACCTTAAAACAAGCTAAGAGTCGAAATACCAAATAATCCGAGAATACAGGAACGCACTATTGGGTTAACTAGAACCACAACAACTATGAGTGGGATAGGTAAGTATTTATTGACATAGGCCATTTGCGATTGGCTAGCGTAATTTTTGTGTTCAAAATGAAACTTGGGGGCGGGGCAAATTGATACAGTCATCGAACCCATAAAGTCATTGGAACGCACCCAGGTTGCATCATTCTGATGCAGATGCCTATATGGTGACGTATGTAAAGACACGCCCAAGCTGTGTGCGGCATCAGGGTGGATGGCGGGATCGCGATGGAGAGCCGTGGCAATTCTCACAGGAAGTCTATGCTTCCCAAACGGATATGCAGAGACGTGTGTCTGACAGCAATTATAGCATCCACTGAAAATATGATTGATGCCCTCAGCAGGGGAGAGGGGTAATGGGAATAAATGAATATATGAGCTTTTAATAGTGTTAAGGGAAGAAACCGTTCATTGTATACCATGAGTCAAGTCAGATAGTTGGGAAAACTGCAAAACCTAGCTCTGTCGTGACCGTTTTACTTTAAATCACAATTCGAAATGTAAGGACAAATGGCTGAATTAGAAAAATTCCCATAATCAATTGTGGGTTTTTTTAGACTATTTTGGTTATAAATTTGGAAATCACTCCAGGCAACTCTCACTTTAGTGAATAATCCTGAAGTGACAATGGCAGATAATCGAGTAGTGACAATGCAGGGGGCTTGTTCTACACACAAAAAAACCCAAAACACTTTATTAACTAAAGTTTTGGTGTTAGAGTATTCCTTTAACAGCCGTGATAAAAGTGCTAAAGGCACATAGCCTAACAAAATAGGAAGCACATAGGATCTACCTACACAGAATGTCATAAAGGCCACTCTTCTCTTTATGAATTAGTACCTCAACTATCAGTGCTCAAACCTTGTTTATCATCATTTTTAATAATAGTGTATTGAAACTGTGGATACACCTCAAGTATAAAATCTTTATATTTGTTTGTTTTATACCTCTCATTTATATATATATATATTTTTTCTCTTATTGAAGATGGCTCCAATCCATACACACTCAAACTATGCTTCTCCACGTCATCTCATCTGTAAATGCTGCCAAGCAGAAGACTGTAGGAACCAAACATTATTTTTTATTTTATTTTACACATTGTAATTTGATAATGCGCATGTTTTATAATAATGTGTTTTTACCATGTAATGGATTTTAAGTCGGTGTTCTTTTATGATTTTTTGTTATGTAGGGGTGGAGGAAATCATTGACAGGGTTAAAACATCACTACATTTTTCTTTTAAACACACAACCTGCATAATTGACGTCAATATCTTGCTCTTATTCATGGAACCTGATGGGTTTTATGACAAGAGATTGATACATCTGTATAGAATGTTGGTTTCTGTTTTTTTGTTTTATCTTCAGTGCCAAGCACACATTTTGCCACCGTACCCTTAGAATATCTTTGAGAATGTGCTTGCTGAGAAGAAAAGCTTGAGACTTATTTGCTTAACCAGGAATTGTGGAGAAATCAAAAGAGAATTTCATGCAATGTTTATGCCAAAATAGGCAGACTGATGAAGTCTCCAAGTCTATTTTGACCTAAATGTTGGAATTCGTTTGTAAAAATTCCTTACAATGCCTTGTTTAGTGAATAAATTCCCTTATGTCTGTTAATGCTGTGTTTTTCCTGTGAGAACATATGTGAAGTTTATAAATATGCACACCTTTTTAGGATCTGGTTTTAATATTTATACTAGAACTGCAAGATGTTAGCAGCCCTACATGAATTGTTTTAAGACAGTAAATATGTCCTATGACTTGCCTAAACTCTTGTCCTGAAAGGGGCTAACTGTAGACATTAGTCAGAGAGAGAGTGTTTTCTCACAACTGACAAAATTAAACTGAGAAGGCTTATCGTTTTTTGTTTGTTTTTGTTTTTTTACTTTGGGATTATTTGCCAATCCATGAATGTGATTTTACAACAAAAAAAACATACCGGGTTATTCACTACAGTGATAATTCTAAGTGAATTAGACTATTCAACTATTCATTATTTAGTAAGTAAATCCCTAGCAGTCCTAAACATTTGAAATTCTCTAAATGTGTTTTTGTTTTTTAATGCAAGATAAAAGCCATTATTTTTCACATAAAGTGACACTAAACCATTACTTCCATTATAGAAGCAGGATGTGCATTTTAAATGTCTCCTGATCATATCTGAATAGGAAGAGGCCACATGCCAGAGCCAGGAGAGACAAACAGTGGCTTGTATAAGCCGTTAGTTTTAAGGGCATGTATTGCTCTTCTAGACAAAGAACAATTTTGGATTTTTTATGACATCTTTGTTGTACTGTAATTTTGATCTTTCCCACACACAATGAATGTTATGCCGTGATTCCATTATTTACTTGGAAGTAAAAGAAGCACATTCTGGGATATGCTAATTACTTTTTTTTTTTTTTCTGGGGTTCCCATTTGAGGATATGTGGCAGCTCAATTTAAATAAACACCCCATATCTTTTTCGAAGGAAGGTGTTTTTTTTGTGTGTTTTGTTTTATAATTAGAATTGAAGAATATGTTCTTCATTTAGCACCCACATGATGTTTGGGGCTTTGGATTTCATGCACATGGTATATGCAAAGGTAAGTTAAAAATAAATAAAATTATTATTGAACATTACTGCAGTACTGTTACCAAACCATTAGGTACTTTTGCAATATAATAAACATAGGTTTAAAATATATATTGTGTTGCTTTGGAGACATTTGGGTAGCACTGACAACACCGAAAGGCTTGTCTATCATGACATTTTAGGAGAAGAGGGTCAGACAAACATGAGCACTGTTTCAGTGATGAACTGTTACAATGTTAACCTCTTAAACATTCAGATTTACCTGGTACATCAAACCATTTAAGAGACTTACTGCTGCTATTGCAACCAAATCATTCAGCCTTCAAGAGTGCATGAAATATCTGCACAGCAATCCACTAACCCTTTTTTTGAGGAAAATATATACTAGTACTGTTCTCTTTAAACATCGAACTTAATCTAATAAATGCATATTTATTTAAACATTATTAATGTATGCTGCCTTCTTCATTCCATTGCTCCAAATGGCGAAACCCCTTGCATAACAGAAAGGAAAACATGATTGGATGCAGTCAGAGAAACACAATTGCTTGTAAAGTAGTAATTTGCCATAGACGATCATGCTAGCAGTTTTCATTACCTTTCACGAGGTATCACTACAAAAGCAAAAGATGGAACATAAGAAAAGTTTTAATAAACTACAGTTTAAAGTGCACATAGATTATAGTGACTTTCTGTAAACCTGGGTGATAAAAAAAAAAAAAATTACAGTCCTAAGTCTAATTTTAAATTGTATATCTTGCCAAAATGTTGCAATACACATTGGTGTTTATGCACTTTGGGTCAGTATAGCCATTATAAAGTAGAAATTAGCAGTTGTTGAACTTTTACGGTTTTGTTATTTTTGCCTTTATTTTCCAATTACCTTGTCATTGGTCCACAATTCTTGGTTTGTTGAATTTCATTCATTACTAGTGACTTCCTAATCCAAAATCTAGCAAAACAAAATTGCCTGGCTATGTTCTAATTTTACCTTAGGAAACGTTTTAACCCAAAATGAATCATTAGCTGTATTAAAAACCCAAGTGACCTTTGAGCTTTTTTCCGCCCAATTCTGTTATTTTGACTTACACTTCACATGTACCGTAGTGACAGTCTTCACAAGAGATTCAACGTTAGAGCATCGTGTGTAGTTTCAATCATGTAAATAAATAGATTTTTCTTAAAACGTTTTCAAAGTATATTGTGATTTTACCTTTTAGTTTAACAAATATTAATGTATTTTTCCACAATGGTGAAATTCAGAGCTACATGTTTCTGAGGTGGTGAAACTTAGTCCAAGGTGTTTAGGGTCCCTCAGCATGGCTTGTGTTTAGTTACTTCTAAAATATTGTCTCTCAAATGCTGTTCGTCAGGACCCAAAAATGAGTCTTTTAGTGGGTCCCCATAGGTTGGAACAGAGACAAAATAATTATTGTAGCTTTGCCTGTAAAATGTTTGATGCTTAGAAAAGTCTAACAAAGTTGGCTTACAGAATTTGTTTTATTTACACTATTACATTGGAAGAATGTGAGAATTTCACAATTGAAGAATTGGTCACCAAGCACATTTTCTAACATCATTTTCTGAAAAGTTGACTTTTGGTGATGCACACACTTGTGTTGGCAAATCCAAGAAACATACACAGTTGAGCTTGTGTAAGAGCTGAGTTTAAGAAGATGTATGAACTAAATTTACCTTGAACTCAGCAGATCCGTTATATGCTCTTCTGCCTTTACAGAGGTTTATTTTAGAGAAAATCTTCTGAGTGTGTTTGTATGATTAATCAAATCTCAGAACCTAGACCGCAAAGTTCCCTTTTATTGAATAAGATGTTCTATGTAATGTGCACAGCTGGTTTTATGTCATGTTACGTTTTTTTTTTTTTCCCTTTGTTTCACTTCTCCTTTTTCACCATTTTAATTCCTGGAGCTGGGGGCAGTTTGTGGCTTAACATGCTCTGCTGGTACTACAAGGAATAAAGAGATACTCTTCACACCATACCCACTACAGCTCTCAGTTGTGTTTATAGTGCTTAGAGTCTCCTTCTTATATAAGTGTCCTTTGCATTGTATTCCCTGTACTGATGTGGGATGTAGTGCCATGTATTTAAATTGTATTTTTGTTAATGGCTATACACCTACAAATATGATGTTCAGTTCACTCTTAATTCATGTAATGGTTTTAGTGCATAGAAATTTAACCTACTGAAGAAAAAAAAATAATAAAATGGATTGTCTTTTTAAAAGTTTGGTGTTTGGACTATTTCTTTGAAAATTATTCTTAATTAATCTGAAACTTTAGATTGAAGTTTTCACTTGTTTCAATTTCATCTGATCATTGTTGCTAAGTAACCAAGTTTCCTGGACAAAACAGGATGTTGCCTAACCAACATGCATTAATTTTTTTAAATTAGAAGGGTCATTACTTAGAAACATAGATAGAAACATAGAATGTGACGGCAGATAAGAACCATTCGGCCCATCTAGTCTGCCCAATTTTCTAAAAACTTTCATTAGTCCCTAGCCTTATCTTATAGTTAGGATAGCCGTATGCCTATCCCATGCATGTTTAAACTCCTTTACTGTGTTAACCTCTACCACTTCAGCTGGAAGGCTATTCCATGCATCCACTACCCTCTCAGTAAAGTAATACTTCCTGATATTATTTTTAAACCTTTGTCCCTCTAATTTAAGACTATGTCCTCTTGTTGTGGTAGTTTTTCTTCTTTTAAATATAGTCTCCTCCCTTACTGTGTTGATTCCCTTTATATATTTAAATGTTTCTATCATATCCCCCCTGTCTCGTCTTTCCTCCAAGCTATACATGTTAAGATCCTTAACCTTTCCTGGTAAGTTTTATCCCGCAATCCATGAACCAGTTTAGTAGCCCTTCTCTGAACCCTCTCTAAGGTATCAATATCCTTCTGAAGATACGGTCCCAGTACTGTGTACAATACTCCAAGTGAGGTCTCACCAGTGTTCTGTACAATGGCATGAGCACTTCCCTCTTTCTACTGCTAATGCCTCTCCCTATACAACCAAGCATTCTGCTAGTATTTCCTGCTGCTCTATTACATTGTCTGCCTACCTTTAAGTCATCAGAAATAATCACCCCTAAATCCTTTTCCTCATATGTTGAGGTTAGAACTCTATCAAATATTCTGTACTCTGCCCTTGGGTTTTTACGCCCAAGATGCATTATCTTGCACTTATCCACATTAAATGTCAGTTGCCACAATTCTGACCATTTTTCTAGTTTACCTAAATCATTTGTCATTTGGCTTATCCCTCCTGGAACATCAACTCTGTTACATATCTTAGTATCATCAGCAAAAAGACATACCTTACCATCAAGACCTTCTGCAATATCACTAATAAAAATATTAAAGAGAGAATGGGTCCAAGTACAGATCCCTGAGGTACCCCACTGGTGACAAGTCCAAGCTTCGAATATATTCCATT